ATGCGATAGTATCCTCTGTCTGGCAATCAAAGAATAACTACGAAGAATAAAATTCCCTGCACTGTTAACTTAACCTAGATTTATTTCTCTTGTTAGACGTATTTTACAAGAAGAAAAGATATTGAAGGATCGACGTAGTAATCTAAAAGTAAAAATCTTATTAAATTTTTCTCAATCTCTTTAGAAATTATTGTCGCGACTTCTTAATATTTCTTAAAAAAATGCTATGGTATTTAAGAAAGTATAAATTTGAATAAAATTATCTTATACGCGATAACAATGCCATCTATATATTACTGTTGGAAATAAAATTTTATTATATCATTCCAGTCACTTGTATGCGGATATTACAACACCTGTTTCGTCATCTAAGTTAATTGTGTGTCAAGTATACGTAATGATTCGTGAAAAGAGCAATTACAAGCAAGACACGAAGTTTTATCCGTTTTACTAATTTTAATCGATGAGCTGAGTCAATCGTAATTTCTTTTTAATTCATTATTTTAGTCTTTATAAACATGAATGTAATATTATATTTGTTATTTATTTTAATTTATTTTATTCGACAGTTATTTATTATCAATCAATTAAATTAATCAATAATTTTAATTTACTGCAAGATCAGTTTATATATAGTTATAATCTCTAACGTTGATAAACTAACGTTGATAATCTCAAAGACTAGTTAAATCATTTTTCCAGTTAATAGGTCCATAAAACATGACAGCAATCTTGCTACTTAGAACGTCGATCCTAGACTTTACTAATTATCAAGATTATACGTAATTTTTGTTGTACTTTACTGTAACAAGCTTAACGTGAAAAATTTTATTGTACTTCCAATGAAAAGCTTGATAAAATCTATTGGCGAGTAATTTGATTTATTACGAGGCATATTATCGATTATAAATCTGTTAACATTATAGCTTCTTGATATTCACTACGTTAATCAGAGCGTAGTACAATGTATAAGCAAGTTAATAGAGATGCTTATCTATTTGGTCGATGTTCATCAATTAATTACATCTTTTTTATTGATTAAAAAGTTTGCAACGTAAGGTGCGTAAGATTTTTGTGAAATTTCTGTAATTTGTTAGATTCGTTCGAAAATAAATATATATATTTTAATTAAGCAGAAGTTTGATAACATAGGGACATATTATTTTAACGAATAATTGGGAAGAAAATAACAAACGGAATAACGAAAAGAGAATTTTAAGGAAAATGGGATGGAAGAAAAGATATAAAAGAGCTGTCAAGAAGATAAAGGAATATAACAGAGTAGTTACTGACGAATTCGAGAAGTTCAAAGAAGTAAATACCAAGAGATACGTCTGAACATATCAAAGGAACAGTTCGCAAGAAGTTACATAAAGGAAAAGGGAAAAAGTTGAAATATTAAAAAGTACAAAGGATATTGACGAAGGAAAAGAAAAAATGCAAAATTGAAAAAAATTCCATGTTTGTAACAAACATGGGATGTCTGGTTATTTTCTTTATCTTATGAATGATAACGTGCCATGAAATCACGATATTTTGATATGGTCCCATCGATCAATTGGTGTAAATGGAAAATTCCATCAAGAAGCCCGCGAAAGGCGGCCACTTGTGGAATCCAGAAATACTTACTTGCATGAGCTCATGAGACCCGTTTGATTCTCTCGATCGTGCTTATGCTATACCATATGTTCATGCATCTGTATGTGAACAGTTCGGTGTAAAAGTCTTAAGCCGTCTAAGTTATTGACTTTACAGCAATTAGTTTATAAATACTTTTACAAGTCGTTTCTATGTACTGTCTTATGTAAATGAACCTTTAGGTATTCCTTTCATTTGCAGATTTATCGGTGGTGACTCAATAAACAGTGTCGCCGTTATAAATAATGTTATCTAACGTTTATGGTCTTTTTGCACAGTGTTGTGCAAGAGTTTTAGACTACCTTGGAATTTTAGAAGTAATCTTGGAAAATATTTCAACTTATTAGTATATAAAAACGTATCTTTAGGTGCTCTATTAATGTCGTTGCTAATTTTTCGCTTTTTCTTTTTCATATGTTTTTGGAAAATTCACTACAAATCTAGCCTTCGAGGATACATCCTAGGTACCGTAAAGCACGTCTGAGATAATTTAGAATGATCCAGAATGGAAAAGAGGTTGGAACAGAAATTTTTTAAGGATAGGAAATTGAAATGGTAGGAAAAATGTACTTGCATATGTGAGTATGAGGGAGTAAGACATGCGAAATATTACTCATCTCGTATTAATTTTCTACTATTAAAGAAGATATATTATACTGTCTGACGCAGTGATTAATTATTGCATAACGTAGGAATTGAAACAATATCGAGTATCGCTATATTTATTCATAGAAACAATTTTGTTTGATAGGTGATCCAAGACCCTTTCATACCACCTAAAACCCCATGAACTATCGGCGTTGTACGGTGAATCATTCTTCACGATCTTCTCGATCTGTCAACGTTGATGGATCATTTCGATTTACGTATAGCAACATAGTTTTGTGCCATATACAATGTTCTTTTATAATAATTCATTCTTGCAAGCGGCAGCGCATGATTGAAACATAACTCAACACGTGTAGTAACCTTGAGGTAGCTTCCAGCAGTGATTTGCATGGAATAGTCTTGTCGGAGTCTGAGATTTGGATTAGAAGCTCATTTCGAAATTTTTCGACGATCCTAGGATTTAAAAGACGAACAAGATTTCTTCACACTTTTTTGAAAAGTCTATGATACAATAAACACATGATCGTTAGATTTGCTGCGTAGAAAACATATTTTTCTTTGTTTTTTAGATAAACTAAGCTCCGATTAATCCGCAAAGTAAAAGTAAAAAATAACAGTGATGTAATATATTACTCTAAGTAGATTATGATATCTTAAAGAAAAAATCTGAGCTTCGTTTATGTTTGATATACGATTTGATTTATAAGATATCTTTCCAATAATGGAAGCATTTAGGCGTGTGTGGAAAATATTATAACATAATAGACGACAAGACTGATATTTCCTCTCAATGGTCCAGAACATTTTATACAACAATATTATTACAACTTTTATTACTTCACGCTTTATCCTTCACATCCTCTTATCGTGCTTCTTGTATTTTATATTCGGAATGTATTGTAGTAATACGTGTCTCGTTGTTTCATAATATCGGTTGTTTATCGACAGTCTGAAGGATCCATACTAATTCCAACGAAAATGTTCTGTTGGTTTTTTCAAGTAACCACTGTGAATCAAACTAACATATTGAAATAATATTTTTGGAATAACGATCGTGACGATAATTTATGATAACGATTCCATTTTTTCTCCTTCGATAATTAATTGTTTCAATAATGAAGTGTATATAGCCTACGGGTGGATATATAATATGTACGAAAATTCTGCAATATTCGTATAAAATTTCCACAAATAACAAAGTTCTGGTGTCTTGGAGTCTAAAATTTAAAAGAATCTTATTTTCCAAACTTAATTTTCTAGGATCTTAGATGACTTCCATTGTTTTTCAAACTAAGATTACAAAGTCAGTCAAAATCTCCCGTTTCAAATTTCTAACTTTCACATTTACAGGAAGTGTGTCCCTGTTTATGGGATTAATTAATATGGGATAAATTAACTTAACTTCTATCGAGATATCAATTAAAATAGTACAATACTTATATCGATTCTTATTTCTATTGCTTTAATTATTTATGTATTATATTCACGTACACGTTACAAGATTTAGTTTCAAAAAATTATCAAGCATCTTAGGATATTGTTAAGACGAATAACTTGTATTTCTTACATAAACCAGAAGGATTAACGCCATTCTCATTTTATGATACTTCGTATTTTCTTCGCAGCCGACATTACTCTTAATCATTCAAGCAACAGACATTCCATACTTCACTCCGATTTTATTTCAAAAGATAAGTGAATACCTTCCGCTATCAGCACACTAATCTTTATTACTACATTTTTATTCTAGGTTGGATATAATTTATATCTGTCACAAACTATAAATCATTCGAGGAACGTTCATCGATTCTTAAAATCGTATTACAGAGCGCTAATAGTACGTATTCCGGCGAGGGAAATCAAATTTATTCGTCGTAAACGTCTTTGTGAGATACTGCTTTCGCAGCGAAAAGAAAGAAAAAAGGGAGAAAAAGAAGAAAAGGTATCATCGCGGGACTCATCGCGTATTCAACGAAGGCAGACTAAACACGAAGTCATGCAGATTGATATGGTTCGCCGTCGAAGAATATTAAACTTGGTCATTTTGTCACGTATAAAAGTCACGTTCGTGGTTATCATCGTTTCGTACGATCGTTATTCATCGCGATGGACCGTGAATTACGAATCGACGCAGATTCCACGCAAAAATCCACGCAAATCCGTGTCCGGATTGCAAAAGCTAGCACCGGAAGGCGTCGTTTGCCGATTTTTATCGACTGTGAACACGTAATTCTCGTTGACAGCACATTTGTTTCGCGGTGGCCAATTGTCTGGATAAGCAATTTGTTTGGAATGGTGTAGAAGCAGAATACAGAGGAGAGGATGGGTGTCACAGAGACACCCAGTTCAATGATAGTCGTAGGATGGAACTAGGCAAAGCTTTTAATAATCTAACATTTTCGTTTGAAGATAAGAATGTAAGAGTTTAGTCTCATTCTTATACGAATTTTCGAATAGGAATTATTTTTTCTCGAAATACTTGTGATTAATTTCGATGTAGTTCCTTTAATTTGATGGATGTAATCTGATCTTCGTACTGAGCTTCATTTCAGGACCGAGATTGGCTAAGAGAATGATTTTCTATACGCTTTTATTGTTCATAGATTTATTTGAAATTCGCGTTAGATGAAGATTTGATCATTAATAGTTTAATTGACTCAAAGGAAGGTTCTCTCTATTCGAAACTTCTAAGCTTATATTTCTGCTATCAATTGCAGAATCCATACCTCATACAAGCTTTCTTCTAATTCCAGGATGCCTTAGACGCCAAAAGATGGTCCTCCAAGAGCAAGCAAAATGGGTAGGTTTATGATATCACCTTTCCCCTCGTTCCTTAAAGCTCTCATAAAACTACTCACCGATCAATCCAATCCGAACTATTCAAACTACTCTGAATTATTCCAGTTACGATCCAGCCAACAACAAGTCCAACATCTACGTGCTGGAACTAGAGGACAAGAAGAAGAGCGTTCAGGAGTACGAAGAAGACTACAATCCTTATGATCACAGGGTGGTCGCCCATCCAACCACGTGGGTATCAATCGACTTCTCTTATTTTTATCTGTATACGCGGTCAGCTGATTCCTTTGACATTTGTTCCCATTCATTCCTCATATTCTTACCTTTTTTAGCCTTTCCAAGACAAATCCACACGGTCGATCGATCGCGAAGAGGCAGAACGAGGGAGAGGAAAGAGCGTAAATCGATATCGGTTCGGTCGGTTAATGCAATCGCGAGCATTTGCATAATGTTGAACGCCGCACGCATGCGAAACGACGTTTCGTTTATTCCGACCGCGTTTCTCCAGATACAAATTACCCGGTAATTTGTTGCGGCGATTAGTCATGAAGCGGAAGAATAAGATTGCCCTCGAGGAAGTGGATCCGAAATGCTGGTTAGACGCGAATGGAAAAAGGCCGCCGGTTGCTTTACGTTAGAACCTAAGCCAGTGGAAAATAGTTGATACAGATACGTGGTCTGATTTTATTCAGGTCTCTTGAAAATATCTCGTAGATTTCCTTGCTGATCTTTAGATAGTGATTTTCATAGAGGACATTTAGATTATATAATCGTTTATATTATATAAAATTATAAGGATTATAGAGCTTTAATTGCGCGTGAAACGCGAGTATTAGTTTCAGTGAATAGTTTAAAGACTGCCTTGATAATATGAAATTTGATATAGGTATTAATATATTACAGGCTGTAATGCATTATTAATATAACTTTTACCACTGCTATTGATTGCTAATTAAAAACGTGTAAATTTTTGTAGACTCTAGATTTGATGCATTATTCGATCCGTAAGTGCAAGGATTTAAGGTGTCCTTTCTCTTTCACGTATTTTTCCCTTCCTTTTTCTCTTTTCTTCATTGTTTTTGTTTTAAACCTCTTTTTATGATCTATTACCCAAGATCTTTCTCTATTCCTATTTGTCTGACACCTTTCTAAATTACATATCTACAAATTTTCTTTATTCTTTCTTTTTATTTTTTTATTTTCAAAGGATTTCTTCATTTTTTCTTTTCAATAATTTATTAGTTTTTAATTTTTCTTAATTATCAGTTCTTAATTTTTCTTTCTTTCAATTAATTTTCATGAAAGTAATTGGGAAACAATATTACGTGTTACAGGAGTCTGGAGACATTGCTACATCTGCTGAAAGGCAGCTTGGGAACCGGAATCCTCGCGATGCCAAGAGCTTTTCATCATTCTGGATACGGTATTGGCATAGTGGCGACCATAATTATAGGTCTGTTCTGTACTTATTGCATACGGATACTTGTCAGCTCGGAATATGAGCTCTGCAAGAGGAAGAGGGTGCCTTCGTTAAGTTACCCTGCGACAGCGGAAGCAGCACTGTCAGTGGGACCAGTTCCACTCAGACGATTCGCAAGAGCGTCAGTGTGAGTATTTAATTCACGTTCGCAAGATATTTTATATTTTCGAGATATCTCGAATAAGTTAAAACACGACGCATAAAACATATTATTAACTTAAACGATATTCAAAATAGCTATTTTTGAAATTGTTGCGACTTGTAATGTATTATAATTATCTGTAGAATGAAAGATTTCAATGGGAAATTTTTTAGGGGAAATATTATTTTATCAAATATTAAATAACGTAAGGTCTAGTAAATTTTCTTCTCATAATGCGAACCTTGCAAAAATTTCAATCGAGGAAAATGTTTGCAGCCACACGATAAACCTATTCCTCATGGTATATCAGATGGGAACTTGCTGTGTCTATACCATATTCGTCGCTGAGAATTTACAGAAGGTTAGTACAATTATCAATCAAACCCCGTTAGAATTTTCAATGCTAACATCGATGACCAAGCTTTCCAATTAATAAGAGAATAATCTCGTGCAACAGATATATCTATACAGATATATGTATCTAAACAGATCAAAGTCAAAAGAATCGCAATTTCGACGTAAAGGTTTCAATTGAAAAATTTATAGTAATATCTTTATCAAATGGAAGATAAGGTAAGAAAGAGCCGAGCCAAATAAAGGTTCTGCTAAAGTCAACTAAACTTAATTCAATTGAATCTAATTAGGATTCAAGTGATGTCAGTTAACTCCCATCAAAACTCAGTTAGAGAATTTGCTTAATACGAACTAAATTCAATTCAGCTGAACCAAATCAAGATTTTGCTAAAGTCAACTAAACCCATCTCGACTGAATCTAATTAAGATTCAACTGTTACTAGTTAATTTTCATCAGAACTCCATTAATATGAACTAAATCCAATCAGTATTCCAGCCGAAGTCATCAAAATCCCACCTTTCTATACGAAGATCACCGCAAGAACTCTCGATCTAAACCTAACAATTAACCAGTGACATCACCTGTTTCATTATCCTCCATTCTCCAAGTTTCTTTCGCCAACGCCGTCTGAAGTGACTCACGAGATTTCGCTACTCCTGTTACTCGCGCTGATCCAGCTTTTACCGCGAGGAATCCCGCTCTCAAGCGGTGCGACCAGAGACGTGTAAACGTGTAGGCAGAGAAAAAGAAGCATGTAGGTCAGGGAAACACGCCGCGAGGAATAGACGATTAGACGGTCGTACGTCGCAATGAGACTCGAGTCAAGGTGATAATACACAGTTCTGGTTCGTTGACATCACGCCAGACGGCAGGATGAAGCCGAGTTTTTATTTATGAGGACACGACGCGACGCCCGTTTCAGTCGTCGTTGCGAGAATCAGGAAGAAGCTCGAGGTTTCTGTGAACGATGACAAACGATGGCGTTGACCGTGAAGTTACTACTTAGTTAAATGGCGTTCGTGCGTACACTTCCTCTTTGCAAGCTTTTTATCTTTGGTATGTTGGTGTATTTCTTCCTTCTCTGGTTCTCTTTTTTTAATAATAAAACTGCAAGTGTTTTGGTAAAATGATTTATGCCATGCGAATGCTTTACACTCTTCCATCACTTTGTCTATAAATTTTTGTTGCAACAATTTTTTTAATATGAGTTTCTCTTACTATTCGTTCTACCTACACTGCGATTAATATTCCAAGCTTCTTGGTTAAAATTACTTTTGTAAACGATGACGAATGATAGCGTTGACCGTGAAGTTACAGAGAAGGAATCCCCAAGTATTTTCAGTTGTTCAGATACCTGTTTTGGCATCAGGGCTATTTCGTTTTGGTATTTGGAGTGATCTTCGTGAAGGTTCTTTTAGTTCTGATGTGGTTTCTAATTTGTTTTGCAAATACTTGTCCTTTATTTCCTTTAATTCGTAATTCTTAATATTATGTCGAATTTGAAGAACTTTGGGGTCAAGACAAGTTTTGCAAGTAATATTTTCAGACAATCTAAACTCGTTTAAATATTTTTATGTATCCTTTTGACACGTTTTCGAATGTTACTTCAATTAATTAAAAAGTTTTAATATCAACATATTTTAAACGTATATCTTCAGAATATCTTATCTTTCTTTTCATTAAAGAGGATGTAATCTCTTGGTTCATCTAGAAAATTGCGCAGTTGTATAGTTTTGAATTCTTCTTTGTAAAAAGAAAAAAATTATGGATCTTACGTATAGAGACTTACGTATCTCTAACATCTTTGAAATATCGGAATTCTTATATTCAACATTAACGTTTATCCGTGGAATTTTCATAACGCTCGTAAATATGTAAATAAAATAGATTTATTGCCTTTATATTTACACGAAGACGAATTACTCGATAGTAAGGATTCTCAAAGAGTAATCGAACACGGTAATTGCGTAACAATAATTACTGTGTAGAACTCGAATGTACATAAAAGGAATGCGGGCTTGATTGGCCATGGTATAGATCCTCCTTTCCTAACACAATGGTAAAAATAGGATAATACTGTGATGTAGGAATACCGTGTAATATAGAGATTTTTTAATTCTCCACCTGTGTTAGTGCAAATCCGTGTTATAGAAATGTCATGTTGTTAGGGGACATTTCAACGAGGAAAGTGAACAGGACATATCTGGAAAAAGACTACAAATGAAATAAAATGCTACAGGCCTGACGTAGACATAAAATCTGCCTTAACTATTTAACAAAAGATAAAGAAAGTGTCGATGTAATTTATTTTCTTACTACGTCAGCGGTATGAATTTCAAGAGTATCAGGTGTTGAGTCAGATGGAGCGAAGAGATTATCTCCCTTGCTTCCATGCCATTCCGAGTGCAAACTCGTAAGTTCTGCACAGTAAACGTTACGAAGCATTTGTGGATTCACCACGTTCGCTCGTATAAAGATGCCGCTGTAACGTGAATCGGAAGGACTCATTTGACCTGTCATAAATCTTCGAAAAAAGGTCGTCTGGGTTAGATTCCGTTTCGATGCCTGCTAGCCTCGTTGCATCCGTTCGAAGGAATTCTTCTCACGTCCGGGAACGAAATGAAAATTTCAATCGAGTCGTTTGCTAATCCGTCGAGGTTCGTTAGCCTCATTCGATGACAGCACCGGAATTCACGCTACTGACATGATCAAGGTGATTGTAAATAGTACCTTCGGTTTTAATATTCAAAAAAAGTTAGTCGACCCTCGATTGAAGTATGAAATATCACCAGGAAGAAGGTTCCAGTGATGTTCAATTAGTCTGTCAATGTAAACATCATGTTAGGTTAAGTTTAGGTTAGGTATTGTTTATATTAATTATGGTGTAAAGTTAATATGTTACTTTTACCTTTTAGAGGTTAGAAAAGAAGGAGAGTCGCAGATCATATGGCATTTCATTAAAAGGGGGTCGTGACTAATAAACATTTGAGAAAAACCACCCTAACCAATAAAGGTTATGTCTTTCTTTATTCCGTAATTTACACGACGGAAATTATCAATACCCATGGCTACACGTTGAAATTGGGTACTTAAATATTAAGTAACCTAATTCACGAATTCTCTGAAACCCTCGATTCTTCCATTTCGACATTATTTCGATGAAATTGCTCCTACTACCTTGGATATCGTTATACACGATATTCCAATTTCACCACAATCGTACAAATATTAGTTTGACGACATAATTTCGACATACACAACTTCATCACGGATACACACTTCTCACCGATATAATATTCCCACGTATAACCTTGCGGTCCTAACAATCCTTTCCCTCTGCGACACACACCGGTAATAAAATCGAGCCGGATCAACAGGTGTTCGTTCACCTGAACGAAAATTCTGAAGTCCACTACTCGTACGTCAAGTAACATTGTTCGAAGCATAGGTCATGGTCCTCTTTCTTAGGTGAGAGCCACGTTCACCGCGAGGATCAATTCGCTCTTTCACGCGCGACCGCCCGCGGGATTCAGGTTTTTGCGAATAGCGCTGATCGTTTCATCCACGTTCTAGCCACTTGCTGTAATAACATGTGTCGTAACGCCACTAAATATCCATTACATTGCGTAGTACGCTAGCAGCAAGCGTTCTACTACTCGGCGAAATCGACACGCCACCGTCTCTCGACGTCCAGTTTCCAAACGAGTCGCCTGTCGATGGAATTCCGCTCGAAAAATCGATTCACGGATACCGGCTGTGAACAGGATTATGGCACCGGTTTGTTCCTCGTGTGTCATTTTGAAAACGCGACAAAGGGAACGCAGAATCGTTTTGTCGAGAACAGTTTGATGAAGTTTGCGCAAATTTGTTTGTATAATTTTATTGAAATTTTCTTGGTTATGTTTGAATTGAAAACTTGAACTCTCTAGTTCTTATTTAGTTTTATAGATGATGAGGTTTACAATAGTTTAATAATGAACGTCCTGTAGGTATATATTTGGCTTTGGTTTGAGTTAGGTTAGGAATGAATTTGAGTCAATTTATTAATTATTATTTGAAAGTATAGGAAAATTTTTAAATATAATGAGTAGTGTGTTTTTAAATAAAAGTAGTATATTTCATTTGTCGATTTCGGATACAATTGATTAAGGTTTGAAATTTATATAATAAATATTATAGAATGAACAGAGGTAAAGAACTCCACTCTAAACGGAAGTTCTATGCTGACAGGATCGATTTAGAGCAATACTACTTCGATCTGTTATGCAACGCACATTAACCGATCGGAATCGGTTTAGTCTGGCTGCGACAGGAAATAAGGTGTAGTTCCCTCGATTCGAGAAGTCGAATGTGATTTTTTTGGCGGTAGAACATGTTGGTTCGAGCTCTCGAAATGAAATCGAACCGGTTTTGCCAATATTTGAAACCTCAGGGAAAACATGCGGTCAATTGTTTCTTGATATCAAAATCTACTTTTAAATTAAAATCTCAAAATCAAAATGTCAAGAACAAAATAGAAAAATAATGTCTCGTTATCTAATCATATGTATTCCACATGTTGCTAATCATTCGAGAAAAATGTATCATTTTCCGCCGTACTGTTCATAACAAACGATACTTTTCTTGTTTCATTTAAAAACATCTCGTTTTACGATACTATCAAACAAATATAATCAATTTTTCTTTTAATTTTCTTCTTGCTAATCTTCTTTGCAATCTTTATGTAGTTTAAATTTTGTTTATCTTCTTGAACATTTTACTTGCAAACATTTATTTAAACGTAATTAATTCAATTTGCCTGATGCATTAAGAAGCCTCGTTTTTAGGTACTAAAAATAAATTTGTCTTTCAGATTATTTTTAGGTGGAGATAAATATAATTTTAAAGTAATTAATTTATTCGTAAGAGCGTATTTAAGTCTTACAACTGTACAAACCTTGTTAAAAAATGTTGAGAAATAACACAGATATGTTTACATGCTGTATTTTGATTATTTGGAATCGAAAGTTTACATGTATTATGTATGTCATAAAAATTAAGTGTCTCTGGAAGGGTGAGGTTAGCACTTTGTTATCCTGGGGAACAATCGTAAAAAATCTATTAAATTAAAGAGAATTAATTAGTAGTATTATTACGAAATTAATAACAATATTAGCAAAAGATTCATTGTACGTATAATTCGTAAAGTGATATCGAACTGTTGTCACCTAACCTAAACAATCGTCGAATCAATCGAATTAGTTTCTTCAATGATGAACAAGAATTTCAAAGTCCTTGTGCTTTTATCAAATTCCTTTGTTACACGATTAAGGTACTCCGTTTCTTTAATCGTAAATCCTGTATCGATATTGTGGAATAGTAAAAATTATTCGCCACGGTCACGAAGTTGTCGTGCCAAAAGAAAACACAAACTAACATGGAGCTCCTCAAGGCGATCTACATGATAGAGGTGGCGTTTCAATCCGGTGTTTTCTTTTTCTCTCAGTCGTTAGCAGCAACGAGGATCTTTGTCATGAGATCAAATCGAAGATTAGCGTATTGGTGCATCGTTTCATATTGAAAACCAGCAATATCTCGTAACTTTCGTTTTGTAACCAGAAAATTCTTTTGTATTCCATTAAGCAAAGTAACTTGTAAAACATCTTTTTTGGTGAATAAAAATTCTAATAACCGGTCGAGAGTAGTAGTATATGTTCGACGTATTATTATTTACCTTGTGACGTAGTAGTTTATTTATAGTGACACCACTTATTTTTGATGTTACTACGCTTAATGTAGCAATATGCGTTTTATCTTCAATGTGACAAACTATTCATTTATTTTCCTTCATTCCAATCTTTATTATGTTTTTTCAATTTTAGTACCTAACGTGGTAATCTACATATAGGGAAATTTTTATTTTCATTATTGCTACATTTAACATAACCAAGACGTAAATACTAATCCGCTTACAGTGAAATATTTACTTTGTTTATTTCAACTTCTTTTAAATTTTATGTCCTATTCCCGATGTTCTTTTCTTTTCCGAGGTAATATATCTAACATAGTAACCTACCTATAATGAAATACTTACATCTGACATCCGTATATTTAACGTGGTACTACGTTCATAGTACTATCATATTCAACGTTCTACTCTGTCATCTTTGTCAAAATAGCAGCATATATCACGTTATTCCTTTCCATATGCTGTTACCATAATCACATTACATCCAACACGATATTACCTCTATTCGATCACTGTTTCCAACATAGTAATACGTTCACAGCGATCGGTACATTCACTGTACCATTACCTCTCTAGCATTACTATGTTCAACGTGGCATTACATTTGCTACACATTCCACGTGCAACAGTAGGTACATTTGTTCTGCTATTACGCTTATTCTATCGTTAGAATTTCACGTATTACCACGCGAGCACGTAAACACGTTGTTCGATAAGGTACGACAGTCACGTTCTTCCGTCATCTGTACAACGACGCATAATTATCGTGATCTCAATAAAAATCAAGATCGTGAAAAACGTTATAAGATTCTAGATTTATATAGTTCATCAACGAAATCACTGGTATTCGCACGCGTTAAGCCGCGTGCACACCAAATGTATTTCTTCTTTTTTACGAGAATACACACTACGTGCTTATGCAAGTCGCTCACGAAGCGCTATAAATCATGCCAGAAATAATTTCGGGAAAATATAAAAAGGTGTAGAGATTTATTTTCTGATATCCATGTCACCATTCCTTTTTCCTTTTTGAACGTTTAATCTGTGCAAAAGGAAAATGTAATTCTTAATATTCACGTGTGAAATTAATATTCATCTTCTTAGATAAGATAAAAATTATTCTGTATGTTTTATATACGTTAAACATTAAAAATTTCTTAAATATATTCATAACCTAATTTTCCTGTCTCAGTTTCAAAGAAGGTTCCAGCATTCTATCATTCCAATTTTATCAATTAAAACGTCACGAGAATTCTAGTTTTAGTCACGAGAATTATTAGTATGACAATTGAACCCGAAAGTGTGCTCCCCAGAGGTCGCCCTTCGACATACGGAAAGTCAATGGTGGTTTGGACCAAGAGATCGATGAATATAAGGTGCGCGTTTCTCGATATCATTTACGTCATGGAACTGTTCCAAGGAAACTTTTTTTTGGATGGAATCCCCGGAATCGAGGAAATTGTGCGGGTGCTCGATGGTTCGCAGCAAAAATATGCTACAAATGCAATTCGTTACGTCACGGTCTTGTTACGTAATGCGAAGGTTGAGCCGATGGTAAATGGTACGTGTTAAGAACCAAGTCGCAGCTCATTTCCGGTCGCCCTTGAATACGAAACGTAACATCGGCCCATATCGGCTACTTGCCGAACCGATAACGATCATTTAACGCTATTCAGCTGACAGAATTGCTCTTTGTCGCATAAAACACAAAACAATTACGATGGCTCTTCCGTGTAGAGTAGGGCGACAGGCAAAAACTTGGCAAATCAATTATGTGCTCTGTATTTAGGTACACATTATAGATCGGTAGTTCTGGCGTTAAAAGATACGAGATACAATTTGATTATACATTTTTTTAAATGCATTTAAACATTGTGAAATGTGCAATTAATAATCCGAACGAATAGGGTTGCCATATTGGCTGGTAGCAAGTTTTGGATATGTATCAAGACACGAATCGACATACTTGGTTGACAGTGAAAGAGTAGATTATTGTTTAGGAAAGTATATATTAATAAAATTGTACTTTTATATGGTTTTTATATGAACAATAAAGAGGTTTCGAATATTGCGAAATGTATATTTATATAAATGAGATTTGCAACTTCGGCCCTGATGTTATTTTTAGTGATACCGAATTGATTTTTGTTGTATCTTTAAACTATTATATCAGAATCGATATTTAGGGTATGTTTGAATAATGAGTGTGGTTTTTTTTGTTTTCAGGCTTTGGAAACGTATGTTTCAAAAATCGATATCAAATTGTATATGCTGGCAATCTTGCTACCTCTGATCTTGGTCAATTGGATCAAGAACCTAAAATTCTTGGCGCCATGCTCAACAGTTGCTAACTGTATTACGTTCGCTAGTTTCGGTATAATATTATATTACATCTTTAGGGAACCTTTGTCATTTGAGAACCGCGAAGTGGTCGGAAATGTTGAGAACTTCCCTCTTTATTTTGGCACTGTGCTATTCGCTCTCGAGGCCATTGGCGTGGTGAGTAATTTTGAAAAGTAAATGAAATTTCACTTTTTCAATTATGGCATTAAATTAACGTTCCTTTCGTCATGATGATTATCAAATTATAGAAAATTTGAATATTCGAAAGTTTGTCGATTTATTAATTGTAAATTTCAAATTTAAAAATTCAGAAATTTGAAAAATTTGAGAAATTGGGAAGGCAGAAGTTTAAAAATTTGAAAATTTAAGATTTCAAATTTCTTAAATTCGTGATATCACCGATTTTGGACCATATTTTAACCCGATTATTCTTAATCCAATTACAGATTATGCCATTAGAGAACGAAATGAAGAAACCAAGGACGTTCATGAGGACCTTTGGTGTCTTGAACATAGGAATGGGCGTGATTGTTGTCCTCTACACAGCGATGGGTTTCTTCGGCTACATTCGTTATGGCAGCAGCCTCGAGGGTAGCATCACCTTCAGCTTGGGCGAACCATTGGTTCTGGCCCAGAGTGTTCAGATTTTGCTAGCCATAGCCATTTTCTTCACTCATCCTATCCAGTGCTACGTGGTAATTGATATTGCCTGGAACGAGTATATCGCTCCAAATCTGGAGAAGAATTCCCATAAGTTGTTATGGGAATACGTAGTGAGGACTTGCCTTGTCCTTCTCACATGTAAGTGAACGTCCAGAGTCCTTCACCCGCCGTGACGTCAATTCAAGTCAGGTCGAACAATGGCCGCTGTTAATACAGCATCGATTACTTATATGGTGTATTGCTGAAGTACCAAAATACCGTTCTTTGTGTGATACCGAACAACATTTCCTCATTGACTTTGACGTCAATCGTAAGTGGATATCCTTTATGCGGTTAAACTTGGAATTTTCCTTGAAAGAGACTTGGAAATGTTCTTGTGAAAGTAGCGGAAAAATCCTGTAAAATATATTTGATTACTAATTACAATTCATGGAAGGTTTCTTGATTTCTGATATTACATCGTTTCAATAGGGCCATTGTCCTTAGATTTAGATAGAATTAATTGAAAAGGAACTGTAATTCTTTGTGAACCTTAAGGCCTTGTTCTTCCTGGCTCTAATTGTTGCAGAAGCTTACATATCTTTGATTCAAACTGGTTAGAACCAACCATTGCACAAACATAACCGCTTTAAATTCTCCCTGATCTATGATCTGATCCCTTCTGACTCTGACTAATTATTGTAGAGACTTAATCGAATCTAACTCTAACTCACTGAAAGTTTTATTTCGTTATTTCTGTTTTACTTGTCCCTGGTTATTCCACTATATAGTAGTACCATTTCATTGAATCTGATATGAGGTATAAAAATATAAGTCCATAAACTCTTCAAGTTTAATCTGATTGTAGTTATGATCCACTAAAAGATTAATTTCTACTGCATTCTACTTTAATAAATTTTCTAAATAACATATATTTTAATTATTATAAACACAATAACAGTATAATTTTGAATAGATAATGATGTTTGAAACTACTTTTTTTTCAACTTTTCAGTCTTGTTAGCTGTGGCAATTCCCAAATTAGATCTCTTCATATCTTTGTTTGGTGCTCTGTGTCTTTCCGGCTTGGGGCTGGCATTCCCGGCAATCATCCAAATCTGCACGTTCTGGAACGTGTGTGATTCTACAGAGAAGTCCTTAATGTTAGCGAAGAATATGTCTCTGATTCTCTTCGCATTCCTTGGTCTTGTAGTAGGAACCTACACGAGTCTTCGTGACATCATTGCATCCCTTTGAACTATGTATCCTGGAGGTGTTTTGCCCCAGAAGGTTGATGAAGAGACTATCGAAACGATAAGAAAGAAGAAGGAAAAGAAGAAAGGAGGAGAAGAAATAAATTGAAGAATTGTCCTCGAGAAGAGAAAAGTGTAACAGTGTGATACGTTAGCTGTTCAATGAAACAGACGATCTAGTTGAGCTGCGTTTGATATCATTCATATGAATATCTTCCATATTATCGACAGATGTATGTTCTTTTTTTTTTCAATATGCGTTGATCGCGTGAAACAAATGTTTGAAGCAAAAGAACGAAAATAGGACGAACAGCGTTCGAGATGCGTTTTATCATACGATAGATTCGAATGTTTTCGCCTAACGATGAACTGTTTTTATTGTTGCTACCATGTTTTCGAAACAGTGTGGTGGATGAAATTTCATTCATGCATGCAAGAAATATTTCGATTCGATCCGTTACAGGATAATTCGCGATTAAATCGTTTATTTATGAAGGCAGACTGATCTGTAGTTCGACCATTAACCTCTTAACGTACATAAATTCTTCTTTGACCGACAGTCGGTAACTGCAGAAAATAACTAATTGTTGGCAATTACGAAGGCTTTCAGCATAGATCTGCTGTATGTATTAATTATTTTAAAAGTTCAAAGAGTTTATTTAAACATAGCATTGGTAGAAATTGTGACCTGTGCAATTAGATATAATATTCCCGTAAGTCGGCCATGTTTCTGTGTGAGACACGAGCTTGTACGTTAAGCGGTTAGCGATTATTTAGTGATTAACATGATTGTGATCGAGTCGATGTGTTCTAACCATTACAATTCTCGTCTAAGCTTAAAATTGATGACTGAAAAATGAAATGTGTTCTCGATGATGGGGAATCTCTGCTTGCAACACCATTTCATTTTTTATTCAAGACTCTTGTTTGTCCAATGCGACTTACAAAAATGTGTTTTATGGAAATATCATTCCGACATGGTCTTTTTGTTCTGGACAAAAGGAGTCATGAATCGAAATTGTTTCTAAGACAATTGGAATCGATTAATTAAAGGAACAAGGAATGATATTTCAATATCATTTTGAAATTTTGATACAGACGATGTACGTAAAGAATAAGAATATGGTGGATTAGATCGCGGAATTTGATACAACATAGAAAAATAAATAAATAAAATAAGAAAAAACGAAAGATAGGAAATAATGATCGCGAAGAAACAAAATCCCTCGGTTTTTAAGTACAATTACTAAATTATTTATTTGCGTAAGTTGAATCGAAAATACACACGTTCTTTTTTATATTAATAACGCAAGGCGTACTCGATATTCCTTGCTCGATAAATTAATAAATTAATGTCGTAGATTGTTTAGTATGAATTGTAAAAAGAAAAAAAATTATTTCGTTTTACTTCTTTATTTTACCGCAAAGGATATTATCAGTTGTAGCCATGAATAAATTTTGTTGTGACTAGTTGCGGAATGATTGCTCATTCTGTAAGAAGAGAATCAGGATTCCCGAACCACAATATTTCCAACGTAAAATCCCCGTAATGTACTGTACCAAAATCCTATCTTAAAGTGAACGGCTACAATATGGATGAAGCTCACATGATATAACTTTCAATCAAACATTTGACATTTCATGGACGTCAATACAATAGAAAAATGTACACAGAAATTGAAAGAATTCAAGATCTTAGATCAAGTGGTACCATTATATTACCGATTTCTTGTTCAACCAGGATATCATTACCAAAACTCGAACAGAAATTATCCACAACTCGCAGCTGGATGATACCTAAGGAGGAACAGTGTCATGACGTTGGAGACACCAAATTGTGCAGGATTGTAACGTCAGGGGGCGGTGGGTAGAGTTCACGGGGGTGACGTTTCGACGCAGACGCCATGAAACGTTCTCGCTACGGGCGTATGGATCGCTATCGGGGTGGCTGCCCCCGCATACCTCGAGGCAACCCCGGTGAGGCCAGTTCGTCTTCGCACGTGTGCACGCGACCCCATGTCAATAAGAGACCTATCCGTGTGTGTGCGTCCAGCACACGCGTCCTTGTGTTCCTCGTCGACGGTTTAGCACGAGGCCAGCCCTCTTCCCTCCTAAAAAAGATCATCTAAGTTCTCCCAAAAGGAATGTACATACAAGACTTCTTCGTGCTCTTCGAGTGCTAAGTTCAAGTTGCTTTGTGAACGTTATCGAGCGCCTCTTATGGATTAGGATACCTTAAATCTAATCTACGCCTAATCCTACTCTTAACCTGATCCAAATCCCTTTCAGTGACAAGTTGAAGGAATCAGTGAATGAAAATGACAAGTGTTCAATGATTTTAAGTTATGGTTTAAAATAACTGGAAGCATAATTTCGTGAAATCTGACACTTCCAGTGGGAAAGTAAAATGGAAATTGGTGTGTGAAAAGTGTGAAGTAATTCTGACTTATCATTTGGAGCATCTCGAGCCTAACCCAAAGGACTAACTCAACTCATGTACGTAGCAGCCATAACTAAAAATTTGAATTCTCAAGTAGGGAAAATAACTTAGCACCTATGAATAATGGAAATGACGAATGGAAATATTGGCAGAAAATCATGGTTGTAGAAAGTATGGAATAACAGAATTTCGTGAAATGGTTCTTCCACTTGGTTCGACTTTGTGCCTGGTTTCCCAGCTTCAGTGCTGTTCAATTTGGAGGTGGTTGGTTATGTAACGTCAGCTATAGAGGGGTTGTCGATGCAGAAGTGGTACACTTAGGCACAGTCTCTGAATCCTGTTTCCTCGAGAACTGTGCACTTATTTCGTTCCTTCTGGTCGATTGTTCTTTCTAGAAGCTGTGAGATCTCTTTCCCTCTTACGTGCTTCAAGGGGATGAAGAGTAAGTGTTGCTGGAGAGTCGTTACCCGTAATCAGTAGCACTGACCAAGTGGATCTTCGATTCTTCACTGGTTCGTAACTCTTGTGATGTAGTTCAAAGGCACTGTCCAAAGTAGTTGAACGACTATTTTATTTTGTTACCTGTTTCAACTCCTTTTGCTGACTCTTAGCACTTGCAAATTTCTCTAGCAGTTTTCCTAGAAATAATTATTTTAATATATTTTTATATCGTTATGCTTCATCACTTACCTCAGTTAGCTCATAGGAACATTTATAAAAATGACGAATCCTTTTTGTCCATACGTGATCCTATCTTCGTATCTTTCTCCATCTGTACGGGTCAAATAAACAAACATCTTCGAGACGAAAAATTTTTGTCACGTTAGAAAACGGTGGTCGAACCAATGATTATTAATAATCCAAAGGGAATCACAGCAGACCGAGTGACCGAGTAATACCCCAACATATATGCACACTCTCGGCGATCGATATACACCCTTTTAAACCCGAGGCCTGATCCGTACGTTACTCTGTTCTCGATTTCTTTATCGCCTATCCGTGCGAATAGCCGCAATGATGGTAGGATTGACACCGTGTCAGCGACCCTATCATTCATGGATAAATGTTGGAGGGTAGAGCTTGCTGCTTTTCCTATCCATCAGCGAGTTTGACGATAACGTTAACCTGCATTTTCAGCTTTGCGCAGGTGTTGTTCGTTTGCCCACCATGTCCTGTTGATTGGCATTCACCTTCGTGCGATATCGTTGCTGATAGGTAACGAGTGCTGAGAATAGTTTGCTATAATTTTAACTGTATTTAATCATACCCCTATGCACGAAGATTTTTATCGATGTTTTGTGTAAAGTACGATGTAGAAATCAGTACCAAATATATCAAAATTAGGCTATTATCAGCACTGATTGAGGATTAATTCCTTTGATCCTTATCTTATATACGAATTTTTGAATTTTACCTGTAAATGAAGGCAACCGTGTACGTATAAATAGAGATAATAGTAATATCTTGTCGTTTGATTTATTATAACTCTGCAGCTATATCGATTGTCTTAATTATGTTAAGTAGGATCATCCTTTAAGCTGATTAGACTTGAACGAACGATTCGGGCACGATTGATCGATTGAGTGTATTTCTTAATGAGAGAATGTAGAATTGATTGATTCGATTTGTTGACTTCTGGCTCGAATATGAAATGTTGGGATTTTTAACAATGTTAAATGGTTGTGCTTGTTACTTCTGATAAATGGCGATCTTCTTTAGTTTCCGCTTGGCGTTCGCATGATCGTGATCCCATTTGTGGGTCAATCGATACGTTCTCTTCCAAACTTGACGTTAATGTGTATTTATATGATTCGAATCGCCAAATTGCTGCATTTCTTCTTCTTTTATCGGCGTCCTTGAAAATCCAGAAAAACAGTGTCTCCTTGTGCCATTTTCTTCTACGTTGCTGATACTAATCAAATAGTTACGTGAACGGCGTTGGAATATCGAAGGCAAGTTGCATCTGCAAAAGTATACGACAAGCGTGAATTATTTGCATAATTTTTCAGCAGGTGGACTAAGTCCATTCCTAATATAACTAATCCTTAATCATCACATAGAAAAAGTAGGTTGTCTCAATCGGGAATACAATTTTAGCATTCGGAGTTCAATCTATAAACCAAATCGTAATGCAAAATCCACAGTTCATCATACACAGCTCCAAAGTTCATCACCAGCAGAAGGTTCGATCAATCGAGCTGTTAAAATTTCGCATCCCAGAGTTCGAGTTCCAAGCACCCAAACCTAACGAAAGACTCGAGTCTCTGGTGCCAAACCAGAGACTCCATAATCCCAAATTCCCTTTCACGGTATCCAAAGTTCATCTTGCAGCGAATTCAAGTATCAGATGAAAGATGCGTACATTGCCACCCGAAATTCAACTTCGCAGCATGAGAACATCTCACAGAAGACTCAGAACTCTGCTGACGACCTCAAACACCGTGGTCCCATCTCTCCGCACCTATACCGCGACTTCTCGATTCTCTCGAGAACCTCAACTCGGTCCCAAGTGCCGCGGTCCCCAAAATCTCTAGAGGCTCCTCGTCCCGGAGCTGACAGTTTGAGAGCGACCGGCGAACTGGAGGCCTGGTCTGATCGCGGAGCGCATCTAAATCCCGTGAGGCGTAGTTTCTAACTCGCGTCACGTGACACCGGACTCCGCGAGCGGTTTGTCGCGTTGGAAATTGAAATGTTCCGCGGTTTAGCGCGGCCCAGTCGCTAGACATCCTCTGGCCCGTCCACATTAGCGTTAGGAGGTCCACCGTGGAAGAGATCGCATTGTGTCTGGCGTCTCGAGCGACTTTTCCGTTTCCCTCGCTGCGGATGTGTTTAATCTGGTGAGTCTAGACGAACGTATTCCGTCATTGTCCACCCTTCCGTGGACCTTAACGACCGTGTTCCTTCTTTCCTCTGCTAATCTTCTTTGTCCAATTTTGCTCGTTCGCCTCCTCTTCCTCTCCGCTCTCTGGGCTCACTCTGCACTCTCAGAGTCCATTGGCTACTATGGCCAACCCGTTCTGAGATTGTGAACAAGGATTTCTGCAGGTTCTCCAGAACCTGGTAGGCTTTTAACGGTGTGCAAACGAGGATTTTCGATTCTAAATAGACTCTCGGTTAAGTTTGTTGATAATTAACTCGGATTCGTGGAAAATTTAGAGACAACTGTCGGGGAGAGACGGTAGCCAATATTACGATGTCAGTCCAGTTCGTAAGCTTCGTTTAGGGACCCATTTTTGCATACATGCATCGTGTATGTAAAGCCCGTTTCCAATTGGAAATCTTCGGTGAACCTGTTTAATACCTATTATCGCTGTGTAGCTTCTGCATCGAGTTTGATAATCGTGCTGCAATCAGATCGCATGCTGTCAGTTAAGTAAAGTTTGCTCGTCGATCATGGTGATTAAAATTATCGAAGATACCGCGAAATTGATATTTTTAATTGGTATTTGGGTGCTGTTGGGCGATGTTGAAGTCAGTGGCAAGTTGTAATCGATGATTTTAGGGATTTGGAACGTCGATAGGTATATTCGTGGTGGTTTTATCGACGAATTTTGCATTTTGAATTTGGTAAAACGATGATATGGCATGAAACTCGTATAGTACGAATAAAAATAGTGTGCAGAGAGTCAGAGGAAAGATCCGCTGCTATTAAATTGAATCTTAAATAGAATGGAGTATCGGTATCATTGTACGATGACAGAGAATTAGTAGAGTCGTGTATGAGTACGAATATAGACTGTGTTAGCACCCCAATAAAAACGCTATAAACCGTAATTGATTGGTGAAATAAGAACTTGTATCGGGTTAAAGTTGCGGCTAAACTCTCGGCGACTTGTTACGACTTCGTATTTCTAATTCGCTTTATTAAAGAAAAAGTCGGATTTTTCTGTATTGTTAGTATTTCATTATGTTTTTACAGTTTATCCAATAATTTATATAATTTCTTCTAAGCAGTTTCACCCTCGGATTTGACATCTATGTAAAAAGACAGAGAGCAAAATTTCTCAAAATAATCGTCAATTATATTTTTACAATGCATTATAACCTTCTATTTTTATTTTTCTATAACATGGGAAAGTAAAAAGAAAGAATTTTTAGATATTAATAAAAGCAAGAAATTTTAATATATTATTATAATACATGATATATTACAATTTTATACTTTTATTATAATTTATTATACTAAAAAAGAAAAATAATTTCTTATTATTATTAACAGTATTTTTTTTTACAATTTATTAGAAGCAAAAAGGGGGGTCCCCCTATGAAGGGATTTCTGAATTGCGTTATACATCGTGCTGATAATATTTTGAACATTTCTTAGTTTTATTACAGTTCACCACTAAAAAATAGAAATAGTTTCTCAATTTTATTTTTTACAATTTATTATAATTTTCTGTTTTTTATTCTGCTGTAATATGAAAAAATGGAAAGTGGCATATCGTATAAAAGAATTTTTGGTTATTTACTGTAGATTTTTGACATGTTTGAAGATTTCATTTGTTAAGCTGTGGCTAAATGTGATTTCTCGATTTTAACTATGATACGATTATTCTAAGAAGGATAATCGGTCGTCGATATGATGTCACGCCAATTGGAATGGACAAACGGTTCAACTATTGCATAACCGTTCCCTCATCGATCTTAATAACCCTTACTTTACTACATTTACGACGAAAAATAGGGGTCATTCGATTAAAAATTGAGAAATCACGTCGGGATTTAAGGGAACGCACTGTGACTTCCTGAACCTATTAGTTTCACTCGTTTAGCATCGTCTATTAATCCTTTGAACCCCGTATATTTTTATTGCTCGTCTATAAATCGTTTGGAGACGATAGATGAACATAGGATAACGATTAAATTGCCCGAATAATTTTCTATTCTCGTTTATTCTGTTATTTCTTCCTTGTTCGATGCATTGGGTTCAATATGACGTTCAGTAAAGAATATTAATCTACGATTTACTTCTTGCGATTATTTTTCAGTTCTGCGAGTAAATATTTGTCGATTAATCGAGGGTACAATAATTTATAATTTACTGCCCAAGTTTAGTTTAACCAGCCAAGCTTTAATACCCGGAAGTGCCTAATACACTGGCTTCCAATGACTGTCGCATCAATGGTCATCAACTTCGATACAGAAATTTTTTCAAAATTTTTTTGGAAAAATATTCGCTTTCTCTTCCATGCCTACTTACATACTCGACACCTCAGCTCAAAGTCGATTAAATATCACGCAGATATATTTATCCTAACTCACTGGGATAAAATTGAACCTCGAACTCTACAACGAAATTAAAGAAAAATGAGAAAACAAATGAAATAAAAATGTAAGCGTCTAAAATCCAATATATTATATTCACATAAATATTTAATATATATTTTACGATATGTCGAAAAGAAAATTCGTCAGATAACGATTCGAATAGTCATGATTCAGTATATGCAAGAAGAATTTTCTCAAACGTGATCGAGGTCGAAAATTTCTCAGGATTTAGGGATTTTCAGGTAGCAATCATCAAACGACAGGTGGTTTAGTCATCAGGTGGCAGAAGTGATTCGAAAACTAAAATTAGCTGACATGTATTCCCGGTGACATAGTTTCTCAGCTGAACGTTCATGAGCCGGTCGACGTGTTCCCCCAATGTGCTTTGAGGAAGTAAGCATTAGGAGATCGATTACTTTACTTAAGCTACGTTGCACTGCGTTCGACGCAAGGGCGTCGCTCAAGTAGCCAAAGGTGACGCCATCTTTTTTTCGTCTATACTCGAAACTTCCTCCCTCGACGTTTGCAATCATAGAAATAAATATTTTTGCGAGAAATTAGGTATTCTTCACTTTTTTCCTGTAAAAATCCATCGTTAATTCTTGTCACCGAATTACGTGCGATATTTTTGGAATGCACGAATGTTCGAGGTGGACAGATGTTGCAGCCAAAGTACACTGCTCGAAATAAAAATGGAGGAAAAAGATTCTAGTGGTTTGTGTCTCGCGTTGTTTTTATCTGGTGGGTGCAAGGGAGTTTGAGATTCGAATCGTTGAAAAATTTGAGAACGATGTTCCACTTAGTTTGAATCATTTGTAAATATATTTTACTCATTATTGTCGAGCAAATTTGAGCGGGAAATTCTGCTTAACTCGAGCAATCTACTTCATGTTGAAGTAGCCAGTGCGAGTAAATAACAAATGTGCTTTTCTGTGAATGGAAATAATTAGGAAAGTCGAAGTGCTGATAAAATATGAACGCATAATAGTGCTTGGATGGAGCAATCTATGCAATTACATAAGATTGATTGCGAATGAATTATGAATGTGATCTTACTCGTAAGTGGAGGAAGTTTGAAATTTGAAGCTCTGCGGAAGTTTAATTGTGCTTAATTTGACCAGCCGATGTAATTGTAAGGAATTGAGCATGAGTAAATTATGGGGTTGTTTGTGCAAATGATCCAGTGGTTGCAATAATAACGAAGTTGTTTAAGAAAGTGATTTTGTAAAATTTCATACAGTGACAAGTATCATTTCCTCCTTTCATGTAAAAGAAAAATTTCAGAATGACAATTACTCAGATAAATGATCCTTTTGAGTAAATTTGAATTTGAAGGTTGTCACTTATAATTTGCTATAAAAATGAAGTATGAATGATGAAGAAATAGGATTTCCTTGTTACTCAATTCTGACCAGATTCTTTAAATTTTCCAGGAGAAACCAGCGACCACCGAAGGAAGTCAGCAAACATAGTTGTCAGAACTTTTTAAGGAAGAAGCAACCTCATTTCCGGCGTAACAGGTGAGCATGATCCATCTCTCAATTTACAGTATCGTTGATGATAAATTTCGATTCCTTAAAATATCGTTTATACGAATTAGAAAGGAATTAAGCTCAATTCGCAGTGATCGCGTAGCAAGCTCTCGATAAACAGAAATTTGCATAATTCTCCGTAACCCTATTATTAACCCTCGAATAGAAACGAAATTGAAAGTAACATTTTGCAACGCCCCATCATCAAAAACTGACCTTTCTGTAACCAAAGAACTCGTATACTACCGATACGAGTTAATCTGCGAATAATTTACAAGTTATAGTCATCCTTAACTGCCACGCAATGATCGTTAGACAAAGAAACACTGTAATGTTTACTTCCTCTGTAATCTCGTGAACCCGAATCGAAGCCAGATTAATCTCAACCAGATCCGTCGTTACGAAATGATCGTCTCATCAAATTTATCTGGCGGATAGATGGAAGATATTAGGAGCATACTTGAAAAGTATCTGTCAAGGGCGAATTGCTGGATCACTCATCTTTCTACGATCGTTCGGTGGCCGAGAGAATCGAGACAGACGTTCACGTGCGACATCAACATCGATAAGCTTGAACTTGTCAGACGCTCCACGAATGCCGCTAACTCATCTCTGGTATCTGATTGCGTAACCTAATCGTCCACTATGATTTTAACCTAATTGTTTTCTTCGTCGCTACGCTTCCAGATTCTGAGTTTCCCGTTACTCCTCTAATTAAATTAAAACGCTGCGTTAAACGTTTCTGACTTTTAACGATCTTACAAGATCCCTGAGGGAATGATCAGATGAGACGAAACTATTGAACGAGATACGTCGATTAATCAGTCTTCGTTTCTAATTTTAACTACTCAGACGATTAGTAATTAATGATCACCACCTATCGATTCGAAGCAGGATTATTTTCATTTAAGATAACAATTGGTTGGAAAACTTGTTGATTTGTAAGCATATCGATTAGCATCGAGGGATTTACCTTGGTTTGAGAAGATTCAAGTTAGTCTAAATTGATCCAAATTGAGTCTTGATCTAACTTAAATTGGGATATGATCCATAATGTTGAGCACTTGGTCCAAACACTCTTCTTTCATATATTTGATACTTCAGTTCAAATTCTCTTCTAGATTTCTTCTAGATCTTCTTTTGCGTCTTCCATTGCAGATTGCTTGGATCTACACACTCTTCTTTCAAATCTGCTTTACTCTAAACACTCTGTCCTCGTATCTCTATGTGACCCAAGCAGACTTCTTCTGAAATATTCTTCTTTTAGATCTGCATTCCTCAGACCTAAGGAATCCCTTCTTTCAGACATGTATCATGTTTCCTACATTTCCATTGTTAAATCCAGATGTCCGATAATTGTGATAACGTGTCGATTAATCCTGCGAGATTTTCGTTTCCCTTTATTGCCTTCGACTCGTCTTAAAACAAGCGAGATAAGAGAGACTAGGTTCGTGCCTTTCGTAGTCAGTACAGTCCCAAATAACCTTTATTCGAGGGGTACACTAACCGGAAGTCTCGAAACTCGATCCATGTCCGCGTTAACCCACGATGCCGCGTTGCGTCTAGTGAATTCGCAGATGAGTAACCCGTCTGACAGATTTCACGAGGTCGGAATGAATCGTTGACACAAGCTCGTCTCGCGTGACAAGTTAAATTCGGCGCCCATTTATCTGTGTCAATGGTCATTATCGCATACAAAGCCACGTTCGACATGATCCATCAGCCGAGACTGGCTGGCTAACGACATCATTTGATCATTGACATTACATGTTGTGATTATCAATATGAACGTTCATGACGAAAAATTTCGTGGATCGTAAACTTTAACGAACATTTATGGACTTGTTGTTACGAGATAGTTTAGTCTTGATTTTATTCGTAGAACACATTGACGAAATTCATTTGGGAAACTTTGGGATAGGCTATACATGATTTATTGACTCCGGTAAGAGGAGGATGAAAATTGGAATGTTACTAGAACCTAGTGATTTGAATTTCGATTTCTGTCGAAGGTAAACTGTAATTGTAACGATACTATGATTTAATAATTTATAAATGCGATCCTCGCAAAAGAAATTCAAAATGTTACTAGAATCTAGTTACTTACGGATAACGAGTATTAATTTTTAGTGAATTAACTTTGTAAAGTCGGTAATTCGATTATTTCGCGTTTCAATCAGAATTTCTCTTTAAATTTGTTATTTCTAGAAACAGACGGTCAGATGCTCGTTCACGCTGATTTTAACGCATCATCGTGTCTCCACAGATGATCATTATTCAATCAAAGGGAAATCGTGCACCGGTTCTAGCATTATAGCCTCTGTGCTCTTCATACGATAATTAGATAATGATTTCCTTATTTCTGCATGTTTTCCCATTTCGAAGAATCAGTTCGTGTTACGACGAAGACGAGGTCTGATTTTCCAAGCACCAAATGCGTCGATTTCATTCTCGAAATAAAACACGGAGCGGGAGCCATCATAAGAACGAGACTCGATACTGAATTCGACATAACCTCACAAGCTTCCATTTCGATTAGAAATCCGTGTCCCAAACTATAAAAGACATAACCTTACTAAATCAGAAAATGCAGCCTTACCTACAGAAAACGCACTCCTAACCTCAAAGGCCACCGTATTTCCCGTCACAGATACTTGAAAGTTTCTCACTTTTTCGCTTACACATTTCTCTTCGTTTCATCTCGTTTCAATGATCGTCCCGTTGAAAATTTCAAGTAGATCGCGTAGATCTTTCGGCATAGTCCAGGAACGACGGTTCGTTCCGAACGTGGATCAATTGGCCGCGCAGAAACGGCGAAGTGAGAACGCACGCTTGCGATATAACCTTCAGTAAGTTAACTACACATTTGACCTCAATGCAATAATTAAGAGCAATCAGTTCGCGAAAGAATGTGCTAAAGCTACGCGCGTCGCCGCGGAACCGAACAGATTCGCAATGATGAATTGCCATTTTTATATACATACGTCGACTTGTTCCATATTCGCCAATTGATTAGGAGCCTTAATGCGCGAGATCTAGGTCGAGCTTTTGATCCTGACGCGTTCCAAGCGCCATCTACCGCGACGCAGGATGCAAGGCCTGGTTGCATGGCGCAAGGGGTTCCCCGGTTTCTTGTCAGTTACTCGCTCGTATATTAGCGGCGGGATCGAGACGTTTATTCGTGGCTGGGAATTTTCCTATGTCTCGTTCGAGCTGAATGAGTCGTGGAAGCGTTGGATGCTACGGGAAGCATGGTTAGTTGAAAAGGGGGAGTCACTGAACGAAAGAGAGCTGTTGGTATATTCTACATACGCAGTTGCTAATAATTCCTCACGCATACCTCCAACTCTGGATGATCAATTCTTTGTATTCCAATTTTATATACTTGGTTAATTAATATTTACACAGTCGGTATTTTTTAAATTCGCGTTAAGTTAGAGTTACTCTTTAGAAATAACCAGTTCGAAGCTAAGAGAAATTTTTTCATCGCGATAGTGATTAGTAGCCTTTAAAATTCGATATCTATCTTCGAGTAGGTTTCGTTTATTCGATGATATAACAAATTTTCTGTGTGAAAAATACAGAAGTGGCACGAGAGATTAAGGGACGAACAAGATGGAGAACGCAAAGGAGGAGACGATTAATATGCAGCTGATCGGTGCTGAGAGTCCGTACAAGTATGTGTGATTTTACTTAAAGGCTGAATGGTGAATAAACATGTATTTAAATCGAAAATAAAATTTTTCATTCTAAATGCACGATATTTTCATAGTATGTTGAGGTATTCTTTAGTTTTATATTTTGCAAGTAGCTATGACAAACGTATTATCAAGTATCACAATTATTAACGAAGCTTATCTATAAATCGTGGTAATTTGAACGCCTATGAGAAGGTAATAAAGCCGGGTAGCGTTTGAAAATTCGATAAATAAAAGCTCGGGGACATGGATTGCATTTGCAAATTGATGCGGTTGTAGAGTTAATAATGAAATTGCCGGAAGTGGTCTAAATGCATCAGAGGTCCCAATATCGCCGACCACAAATGTAGAAGACTACGACCCCCACAAACATCGAAATAGGCCGAATCCGACATCGTGAGTATTCGATATTTTCCCAATATAATCAAATAAATTCTCAAAAAATTGTCAAAAATTCTATGCTATTATCTATCACATCGATCACATCTAGAAAAATAGAAAAACAATTCAAGACAAAATAGAATACTTTATTATTCTCTATGATCTATATCATTCACATAAATATTCTGAACGAATGTTCAAACAATTTTCAAACCTATTTAATTTTAAAAAGCATAACTTCAAATTTATTTAAACGTAATTCAATGCTGCCAGATGCATCTCTTCGTGAAACGTTTCAATAAATTCTGAATAACTGCTGGATAATCGCAATTGAGACTTCAAATTTAATTTCTTCAATTATCCAAAAATTTCGATCACCCGTCTGACGTTTTTTAATTTTCAGGAACGCGGAGACCTTGATACACTTGTTAAAAGGAAGTCTAGGCACAGGGATACTCGCTATGCCAAACGCGTTCCGCAACAGCGGCCTCGTGACCGGTGTGGTAGCCACGGTGATCATAGGGGTGTTGTGCACTTATTGTTTGCACGTACTAGTGAAAGCTCAGTACAAACTGTGTAAACGGTTAAGAGTTCCTATATTGAGTTATCCGCTGAGCATGAAATACGCCCTCGAGCAAGGGCCTGGGTGTGTCCGATGGTTCGCACCCTATGCACCGTAAGTACACCATTCGTTGCACAGACACTCATACACGTACTCATACATCCACCGACATATGGCATAAGTACCATTTCTGAACTTTCTTCTCCGTCAGTAGATTCTCGAGGCTTAACTCGAGGAACTCCTGAGGATTGTTCTCTAGTGAAGTATCATTGAGTAACGTTTCGAAATTATTCGATTGGCCAAACAGTTTTCCATTCCATTTTTCTGTATGTTTCATATCTTACCATCGTATTATGGTCGAAGTGCTTTTTATGGGTTTTTCATAGAAGGAATAACGACAGCACCTGAAACGTATGATATAAAAATTATTAATGTGACTCTAACATATTGATTTAAAATTAAGAATTTGATATCGTAATAAAATTTTGATATAAAAATTATTAATGTGACTCTAACATATTGATTTAAAATTAAGAATTTGATATCGTAATAAAGTTTGGTTTCGAAAAGTTAACAAAATTCGGAATACGTTGTTGAGCATATTTCTTTTTACGTGTGTTAGTTACATGGAAGCCAAATTTATCGATAAATCTCTGGTACTGTTTAATTCGCGAAGAGTTAATTATCAATGAAATGGTACGAGTTAGTTTGATTTAGGACATAGTGATTCATACGTGAAATTAGTGAGAAAACTTCTTGGCCAAGCCGATAAATTTTCGTGGGGTATTTTGAAGTCGAAGATCAGGGAATTTAATCGAAATCTCGAAGACTGATTCGAGGAGCAGTCGACGTCTGACCAAAATCGACTGATTCTACTTGTTCGATATCTAGTGTAGTTCGGAAGAACTTCGAACGGTCTAATAATTCCAAATAAAACGTATGTAACGAAAAAAGAAAAAAAAAATAACCTAATTTACAGAAAATAATTTACTCTATAAAAGATACACGTGATAAAATAATTTTAAAGGTACTTGTTACATACTTCCGCATGAAATTCTCTTTAACCATGAAATAATTAAAATTTATATTAATAAAAACGATAACAATCTTGCGAAAGTCACTGTATTTTGTAACTAAGATCGAATTATATCCACGCTTGCAGACAAAAGAGTGGAAATTGCTTTAAGACAGGCTTTGAATAACCCAATTGCATACCTCAGGAATTCTAAATTCCTTTCTCACTGATACGCAAGATTAATTCTCCTCTTCATCTTCTATATAACAATCGGCATTCTCATAGCATCTTCAAATACTACGATTTCACGGTCTCTAGTCTGTAAGAATAATAACAGAAACGAAATAATTTTTCCCTCATTCACAAGCACATAAAGCACGCACAAAATCACCTCACCAAGCGGCTCGACGATCTTTTTTCAGCTGTAACATGAAAGTTGCTATTATATTTGCAGAGGACTCGTAGACGGGTTCATGATTGTGTATCAGTTGGGAATATGCTGCGTTTATATCGTATTTGTAGCGTCGAATATCAAGCAGGTAAATAGCAGGCGCCATAGATCAGCTCTGTCGCCAAAGGCGAAGAATCAGTTCTATGAACCTTCCCTTCTAGACCAAAAAACAAGTAAAAAAAAAAAAATCGATAGCAAAGAATATTATGCAACGAGTCAAGAAAAACCGCCGAATAAACGTGTACGAGGCAAAAGAAAGTAGAGAAAAGACAGAAAGATATATTAGTAGCCATCCTGATTACGCTCAAATAGTGCACCCACGGTTAAGTAACGTTATTACAATTGTCGATGTCGCGATATCAATGAGACGGATATAAATAAGTAAATATAAAAAGAATAAGTGCGAGATAGGAAAAGAAAAATCGAGAAAATAATCCAAAATAATGGGAAAGTTCGAAATTCATCGACACCCTCGTCTTTCGTTCTTCTGTTCGTAAATGCAGGTGGCAGACCAGTACTGGGAACCATTGGACGTTAAGACCCACATGCTGATCTTATTGTTACCGTTGATCTTGATCAATTACGTTAGGAACCTGAAGCTGCTGGCGCCATTCTCTACACTGGCAAACGTGATCACATTTGTGGGACTGGCGATGATTCTAGTGTACATGTTCAAAGATCTGCCCTCGGTGAATGAGAGAGAGATGTTCGGTACTCTGCGAAATTTCTCTCTCTATTTTGGCACCACGTTATTCGCGCTGGAGGCCGTTGGTGTGGTAAGTTTCATTTACGTTTACGTCCCTTTCCTCCATTTTCTTTCTTCCACTCCTTTTTCTCCGGATCCTCCTCCCCTTTTCTTTTCTCTATTTTTCATCCCTATTTTATCCCTATTTTTCTTTATACATCCTTCGCAGAATTCTTTGAGTTTCCCTTATTTTAGGACACAAATTTTATTGGACATAAATTTATTATATAAATTTTTCATTTTAACTTGCCAATTTGGTTTTGTCACGCCAATGGTATCATAAATCTCTGTGACTTATACCACGATTTTATTTATTTGGAATTATGCCAAGCACTGTATTGCAAATACCTAAAAATTGCAAATAACTCACGATCTAGAGGTATATTTTAAATATTCGGGGATCGAAGAAGACTTTAACAAATTAACATAATTAAACTAAAAATATTCGATGATAATAAGAAAATAATAAAAATAATTCTTCTATATTTGTGTCTTCGGAAATTCTATAGAAATTTACGATCGTATAGGACTATTCTTAAATTTAGTAGAGAAAACCATTGCTAGGAGTATAGACGAGAGAGAACGTTCATGCGATCGAGAGAGACGACGACGGAATATTTCCAACTTCGACGGAGACGCGCAATTTAGAACAATATCTCGTCGATGCATTGGTTTTTCAATTTTACCCTACGTACCCTCGATCGATCTATCATTTGGCCTCGTCGATCATTCCCCGTGACTGTTAGGCAGAAACGAGTAGCCTGCGCTTAGAATAGATCAACGGCGCTGCCGCATCGTTAATAAACAAATAACTGGCCACTTACAGAACTTTGAGATTGTCGTGATCAGATCGTCAGTACGTCAATGCAATCCCTGTTATTATTCCCCAGTTGTTCTCATCCTCTGCGCGAGATCCCAATGAACCTCAAACGTCGAACGATCTGTCCATATTTTAATTGCGAAAATTAAAATACAAATTTTTTTCAGCTTAATATCGATTTTTCATACTTTTCAACAATTTTCAACAGAATTTCTTACGAACAGTAGATAGTGAAGTTGCAACTTGAGTTAAATTCTTCAAATTTGTAATTATTCCCTAGTTTTAGATAGATGGGGAAAAATTATCTGCATATCTCAGATGATTAGGAAACGTCGAAGATCAAAATAAAAATTTTAATTAAAATTCTAAAGTCATGGAATGAGAGTATTATAATAAAAAATATGGTAAAAATTCTCAATAAATTTTTAACTCTTTAGATCGAAAAGATTGCTGTTTTAAATTTCGAATATGTAGAAAAAATTAATACTAAAATGATATTGTGTATTTTCCGAATTTTTGCAGGCGTGTGTGAATTTTTGAATATGACAAATTCGCCATTGCAGATTATCGCTCTGGAGAACAATATGAAGACTCCGCAGTATTTCGGGGGATATTGCGGTGTGCTGAATATCGGAATGACGGTGATCGTAGCCTTGTATATTCTTATGGGGTTCTTCGGCTACATAAAGTATGGCGCCAAGGCTGGCGGTAGCGTAACTTTTAATTTACCACCCGAAGAAGTGTAAGTGAGCCTCGTTTCACGTTCTCCATTTTGTAAAAGCGTTATCAACGTGCGTTACAATGACGTTCGATTTTCAGCATGGCGCAGAGCATCAAAATCATGTTCGCGATCGCCATTTTTATTACGCACGCCCTCCAAGGCTACGTCCCAGTCGACATCATCTGGAACACTTATTTGGACCAGAAGATACACAACAGGAAACTCTTCTGGGAGTATGTTTGTCGTACTATTATCACATTGGCCACGTGTAAGTTCGTTAATCGATTACGTTTAAGCGCCATCTTTAACCGATTTTAAAATAACGAATTCGAAATTTTCATCACTGGTATGAATCCATCAAAAGCAAACAGTTCGTTCGCGTAACAATAGCAATGATCTCTAATTCGAATAATAGACGCTTAAATAACTATATTCAGTCGGCAGAAGTTCTGTTAATTGAGCATTAATTAAAACTTTGTGCTAATAAATCCAGCATGTAACTCTGTAACGTACTATACGTATCGTGTATATCCACTCATTTGTCAAATTGATTAAGTCCACGAACCAAGAGATATAAATTTATTTTAAATGTAAAAGTCAAAGATTTTGACCCTCGAATTCAAAAAAGGAGTGGAGTTAGTCGCATTTGCCTCTGATTGGTTCACATAAAATCGTATATGGTACATATATTTTACTGTAACGTATACTATATACAGGCTACATGGTGTTTACAATGTGATTCTACTATACCACAAAACGATCTTTCCTTTTCAGTTACGTTGGCTATCACTATACCCAGGCTGGGCCTTTTCATCTCCCTGTTTGGCGCCCTCTGTCTCTCCGCCATTGGTATCGCGTTCCCGGCCATCATCGAGATCTGCGTGCTCTGGCCAGAGCGGAAATTCGGGCCTTGTATGTTCATGCTCCTGAAGAACATCTGTCTGATAGTGTTCGGCCTACTAGGCCTCGTAATCGGCACGTACGTGAGCATCGTTGACATAATAAACTCCTTCAAGTGAAACTCGCGGGCGACTTTAGGCAGGAACGATCGAAGGAAGGCAGGCAGAGGGGAGAGAGCAGGATAGGAGAGGAATGGGAGATGAGATAGAGTTCGGACATGCTTGTTCGAGTATCGAGAACGGCTTCGTCACAGTTTCATAGCTTAATGAGCGGCGCCTTTTAAGTAGTCAGGTACCTCCAAAGCTGGGTGTCTTTCTTAGTGAAAAACTGCGAGCAATCAGAAAGCATTCCGGTAATGCTTCGCGCCTCGCGTGAACGCCGCCATTGTTAGAGCACCTTAGGCCGAGTTTAGATGTCTTATTAAGCTGGAGAGTCGTGTAGTGTTGAGTAAGAGGAAAATAACGGACGTCGACGAGAGCTGAGCTATTTGGCTCGTGATCGTCGTTGCTGGTCGCTGATCAGATCTGGCAGAACGTTGGATAACTAATTTAATCGTCGCTTCTTGCTCCTCCAACGATTGTCAATGATGTTGGGCTGTTTGGACAGTTCGCAGATTATTTAACAGCTGGGTTTTCTCTTAAGCAATCAACGAGATCCAAAGCGAAACCAGAAAATCGTTTGAGGGGTACAGTGAGAGAGTGCTATCTAAGGTACGAGTGTGTCTTCTTCTGGGAAACTGGGATACACGTGGGAAAATTTTGCTACGTGTGAATCCTTGACTTCTCTCAAAATTTGTCGAATGATAATTCTTTTATTCCGTTTTCCATCGAATTTTGATCGAATTTTTCTACGAACTATCCAAACAGATAGTTATCGGTACGTCGTATCCGAAGTTCCATTCCTGACTGTAGCCGTGTCCCCCTAGTGGGAGATTTTGGTACTTCAATAGGATATTCGAATTACGAACTTAGCAATACATTGGAGTAAAGAGGATTTTCTCTGAAAGATGACTAAAGAATTTTGCAGTAGAACAGGATTTATGTCGAAAATTAAGGATTATTCCTAGGTTGAGGAGAAATCTGTGCAAGTGAAAATCCTTCCCTTTCGAATTAGAAGCATTAGATCAAACGAATAATCGTCCATTAAAGATACACGCATTTCTTCTCAAAGAGGATTGCCCTCAAACACGTGCCTACGTAAATAATTAATATCTAACTCACTTTAGTCGCACTGCCTGAGAGCACTTTGAATAGAACGAATGTGTTCTTCGAGTCGCTCGTTTTATCCGAAAGTATTTCAATGTAATTTACTCGTAGAAGGCCAGGTAGACTATGAATAAGGACTAATATCATAGTTAGTTAATTAAGATATATAGTATTACAAACGTCTAATTCAAAATGGAAGGACTATCGCTATTAAGCTGTTTAGCGAAACGATCGACCATCCAGCTTCCATTGACGCGATTCTCATGATCGATAATCCATTATACGTAGTCTATTTCGAAAGTAACAAGACTGCTTGAAAGTTGATTAATTACTTGGGTCGATGACCTTGGAGAACTATCATACGTGACTCTTCTTCGTTTACGTGTCGAACGATGCCCAGCACTGGACTTACAGCGCTCTTCGAAGAAATGAAAATTGAAAGAAATGACAAAAAAAAAAAAATGGAAAACGAAAACCAAAAAATGGCGGAAGAACCGTCGATGAATTCTGTCGCGACAACCGAAACCTGTGATCGAAGATTTTATAGAGGAACGAACGTTGCATTTCTACCGAACTGTTGATTATCGTCGTTGAACGAGTTTACAGACGTATATACGAGCGTTGATTGTTCTTCAATTACAAAACGATGTGTCTGCAAGCCATTCGAGGACCTTTCTTTCGTCTCGGTGATACGAGTTACTTATGCTCATCTTTTGGATACTCGATATTCGTTATGATTCAGATGTTGACAAGGAAGTTCGTTTCTCGATGCCGCATGGCAATCGGGGAAAGTATCGAAATATTGAGGAAATGATCAGGAAGATAGACTCGGTGCTATGGAGGGGGATACACGTGACTATAAAAGTCGAAAAGCAGCGTATAGTCAGTGGCTATACGCGTCGAAGGCAGAAAGCCAGAGAAGCTAAAGCTGTTAACCAAAATAGCACATGATCATGACTATAAGGTGGAAGACAGACCGTATAGTCACGAATTATGTCAACACGGTCAGACAAATTGTCATTGTTAAAGAAAATGGCGTGTAGTCATGACTATAAGGGCGGGAAACCCTTATAGTCGTTGACTATACGGTCTAAGCCAAAGAATATGCCAAGTAGTCGTGACTATAAGGTAAAAAAGCTTAATCTTATAGTCATATAATACAGGGTCAGCTCTGGGTTACATTTGTGACCAAAATACATTGTCAAACTTAGATATCGTATGCTGCTTCTCATAGGGATGAGAAGAGATCGTGAATATATAGGCGTGACTATTTTTTTTTCGAATTTGTAATTCTATATGAACGATTTATGCTTGACAGATGTTTAGTTAGAGACTATGGCATATGTATGTTGACTTTAATATCAGGAGGATTAGGTTATAAATGCGGTTATTACCTCTAACGGTAACGTGAGTGAACGGTGCCTAATTCCACTTATAGTCGTAATTTGCGTGACATTTTTCGTCCCTACGAAAAGCAAAATACGATATCAAAATTTGGACATATATTTCGATTACACCCTGTCTATAGAATCCGAGCCAAAGAAACCGTAGATCCTAATCGTCTCAAAAAACGTTCGCTAATCGTAAGTTGACGCAATAGCAATTATTCCCTGTAGTCACAGAAATATCTCGAACAATCGTTAAACGGTATTCAAAATATCATTAAGTACCGCGATGCAAATTATCCTTTCAACGCCTGAATCACTTGTTCGCTTTGATCGTACACCAGGATGGAGAAAAGCAACGAAACACAAACGGATTAGATGAAATAATAATAATAACACTAGGAAAAGAAGGAAGGTCTAATCTAAGTTGACTGACGCCAGCAATAAAAACCGTAGCTCGACGTTAATGCTTTATTTTCTATTCGTTCGTAAAGCTTGTGTAACACGCGATACTCGTGGCTGCGAATCAAACAGGCTGAACCTAAGATCAAAGTTCAATACAGAACACGTATCATGAAAACGAGATGCACCGCTACTTTTGTACCGTCACTGCCGGGAACTCGCTCGGGTCATTACGCAAGTCATGATGACATAGATACACACACATACACGAGAAGATTGGTCGCGACCTCAGCGCCAAGTGATCAGCGAGAAACGACGCACGCGTTCTCCGTTCATGCGGATCGAACGAAAGGTCCCGACGCGAAACGAATTCGCCCAAAACCCTTTCTGTTTTTCGCGCTTGTTAACGGGGCTACGATCGCACAATCGTTTTCGACCTTCCGCCGATTTTCGTTCGCCATCTCCGTGACGCTTACCGAAACGTAAAGCTTCACTCGGTTTCACTCATTTTTATCGAACTTTTCTACCGATATTTTCTTCAATTTTTTCTGGGCAATATGGTTCATCGATGTGACTGTTATGGAGGTTAGGTTCTCACAACGAGTTTGTCGTTACTTTCCAAGTGGCGTTTTAACATTTCTTGCTTCGTGAAATATTTTGTACTGTGTAAATGTTGTAATATTGTTGTTAAGAGAAGAGACATTGAGTACTGTTGAGTATTGAAATATATATCAACGTGTTAGTAATCGCAGGTTGGAATGAAAATTAACACGGTTAAGGATGATTATTGTTCGTTATATATGATATATTGTTGATGTTTCTTGTTGAAAAATTTTAAGATAAAAGAAAATCGAAGATTGTACTTATGGATTTATGATTGTGGAAATATTGGTCTAATTAGGTTTGCGTCTACGGAGCGTTTATCGTTATTTGCCGACTGCGCCGATTTTAGTCCAGAAACGATCGTCAAGTTTTGTATATTTCTAAAGGGTTTCTTAAAAGATCTGCATTTTGCGCGTATGTTTTAAATCCGAATTTTTTTTTTCTGTTTTTGGTCATTATATTTCTGATATAATAAACTCTCTATTCTTACCCGGTCTGTCTGACTTATTTCGAGCCATTCTCCTGTGATCACGCGTCACGTATGTATATACCTCATACGTGATAAAATATTTTTTAACTGAAATAAGAAGCTATGTATAAATATTTTAACCAAAACAGAAAATTTAAATAAAATATTTAAATATCAATCCTCAGGAATTTTCTTGTAGATAATAGTAGTCTCAAGAAATTAGAAAATATTCTGTACCTCAAATAAAACAATATACAGAAACCTTCTAAAAATTTAATTAGAAAATAAGAAAAATAATTAAAGAAATATCAATATATTGATCTTTAACTATCTGTGGACATTTATCTCTTCGTTATTATATAACCTCAATTATTTCTAATACTATTCGTATTAAAAATCATGATTGAACTTGCATGGATTTAAACAGCCCGGCCTGTAAAGGTTAATTAAACATTTATTATCGAAACAGCGACTCGATTTGCTAATTTCTCTCAAACACATTTTTCACCTGGCCGATAATAGTTGACACTGTTTTATCGACACTCGATCGAGAGAATTATCGACTATCGGTATCGACGTTCAGCTCGTTATATAAAATATTGTAAAATGCTATGTACTTTTCTCATATATTTTCTTTCATCGTCTCCATTATTTCTACGGACTATAATTAACGACTCTATCGATTTATTAATTAGCGAGTAACTAACTTATAAACTTATAACCTAATATTCAATGTCGAAAAATCGAATTCTTCAGTACCATCACGGTTATGGTATAATCAATAGTAACGAAATAAAAGATGGCAGTAGGGTATAAAACAATGATCGTTAAAGTGACTTCTTTTTTATACAATGTATTGTAATTTTCACTAATTCGTACGGTTCCTAGTAAATGCTTCTTGTCGAACCTAATAGCTTGGCTATTATTTTTCCTGTAACTCAGACTGCAATGCTACGATTTGCGAGTCGACCCTTTCTGAACCGATTTTAATTCGAACATTTATTTCTCCATTTTTTTTTTTTTACTTAAATCGAAGAAAGAAGTTATCTTTTATGATACTCTCTCGTTAAAAAGACAGTGGTCGCTTATATTATAATAGTCTGAGACTTTCGTCGAAATTATGAGAAATTAATCGTACAATTTTGGACTTAGTTACAATATCGAATAAGTTTATCAAAATTCTATTACAACTATTACCCTTGCTGTAATATAAAAATAACACGATAATTTCCAATGCGTCTTCAAGTATTCGAAAATCTCGTGCATTACAAAACGAAGTTTAATCAATCGGTAATCCAACTTTGTTTCAGCTGTTCGGGAACTATAAAACTATAGTTCTACTAGAATATAAAACTAATTACTTTCCACTCTCTACGTAGTAAACAATTGTAGCTCTGTGTACGGAAAGAATTATTTTAATCATATATATGGCGTTTGAGAAGCTCTATAAGTGTTTTTATTTTAAAAAACAGCCTGATACGAAAATACATTGCATTTCAATTTTCCCTAGATTTCATAACGATCTTCTCGAACGTTCCAATACTTTCTGAATATTTAGTCCCTTTGAAATATCCGATCCGTGGATAATTTACCGTCTGACTCGCACGGTAGCTGAATTTCGTTTTCATTCAGAGAGGGTCAACGGAATTACTTTTGGCACATTGCAAAAACGCCGACACAGAAGAGCCTCGATCCGGAATCGACGAATCACGTTTGTTAACAACAATCTGTCAGGGCAGAAATAAAGTACGAACGTACGTCGATGTTTAAATAGATGGTTTTTATACGTGGAAACCGAGGGGTACATCATCGTTTAATATTAAATCGAACCGCGATACACCTTATGCTCCAATGTCCTCGCCACTCATTTTGGTACCACGGGAATCATCTTAATTAAATGGTAGCACTGAGAACGATAATCGTGCAGCGATGCTGATGACGGAAAGACTGTCGTACAGCATTTTGTTCCAACCAACGAACTCGTTTGCAACATGAGAATAAAAAATAAATCCCTCCTCGAATATGTCGAAACGATAAAAATTCAATGGTTCAGATATCACAAAAATCGAGCAATCGAATTAAAATCCACCCACGTCCTCGAAATCGATCAATTTTCCTCTCAACGTCTAGAAGAAAAATAAAACTTAAAGGATAGAAAATAAATAAAAAGAAAACGAAGTAACAAAAGGTACCTCCCAGTTCTCAACGTTTCATGCCCTTTTACAAATCCCTTTTCTAAGATATCAAGCTTCCAAGCTCATTTCCGTCTGAAAATAAAAATAGAAGAAATGAATAAAAGAAAAGGAGAAGGAAGTGAGATAAAAATGAGGAGAAAACGATGCTGTACGACGTTCTCCATTCTCACAGGAAGTGTTGCGATGACGACACATCGATTGGGCGCAGGGGCCAGCTACGCTGACAGGTCTGGGGAGAGCCAGTCGCGAGAGAAAGAGGAGAACACCGTATTTCCCTTCCCCTTTTCCATTTTCCGAGTTTTCTTCTCTTCTATCGCGGATTACGCGTGGTCACCACTGAAGTAACTACTCTGCATCATGAACAGTTTGTCGATGGGGTTGTGAATCGCCGCGTGCAAACTCTGGGACAACGAGGGCGCCTCGTGGGACGCTGGCCCGTGATGGGAGTGGTTGTCAGCCTGGTGACTACCCTCTTGGCCGCCGCCACCCTCGTTCTCGCCTATGTCGAAGCCAGCCTCCGTGCCATCCAACGATAGATCGCTGCTGCAGAAGCTCTCGCCTGAGTGGCCTGGATACGCGTCTGAAACGAACACGATCGTGTCGATCAGAAATCGTTTAAATAATCCCTAGACAATCGTGAAATTAGATTCCCGGTAAGTTTCCCTTCAGAATTTCCCAGAATTCTTTAAGTACTTTCGATATTTTCTCGGGGAGATCTTGACAGGACTTTGACAGCGTGCTTTGGTAATTTGGTAAGTTTTTCAAATTTTAGGTACTTCTCGGCAGATTTTTCTGGTGTTTCGTTTCAACGAAACCGTCTTGGGAATTTCTCGAATTTTCCGTAGAGGTTTGGGAAAGTTTTCAAATATTTCTTGAAAGTTTCGGGAAGTTTGTTAAGCCTCGAAGTTTTAGATCTTTTCAATCTTCCTTGATAATCTTAGGAAATTTTTTGGATATTCTTAGCCGAGGCTTAAGGGAATTTTGAAAATATTCTTCAGGAATTTAAAGGGGGAAGGAAAGTTTAATATAACTTCTAGGGATTTCTAGGACTATTTTCTCGCAATTTTCTCAGACACAGATGAAAGGAATGGCATGAAGGAAATTGGTTCGAAATTACTTCAAGAATTAAGCAATTGTACGGGGATTAAGGATCGGGATCCGATGATTTTCGACGATAACTACCTCTGCTACGTTGTCTAATGATTTTCTACGGCTAGAAGAGACTTACCGTCGGGCGAGTACGGGTTATTGGGGTTGAGCGGTTGGGTGGCTGAGGGGAAGTTAGAAGATTCACCGCCGCGCATGTTCATGGCGTTCAAGTAATGACCTGCGAACGAGATCAAACGATTGGCATTGTACCAACAGACATTTATTGAGGCCCCATTAACCAGTCTTCGCGAAACGTTCGACTAACCAGTTACAATAAAAATTGGGAATATCGAAGCAACAAAACTAGAGGAGCGGGACAGTGCTGGCAAAAGAAAAAGGATACGTGTGAACACTAAACGATACACAGGGTCAGCCTGTTCGATCACCTTAATTATCTTTCAGGCACACGAAGAATCATTTACAGAATAAAACAGTATAATATAAGTATATAAAACATGTACTACTAACATTTCATAAAAGGATTTCTAAATATCTAATTTTCAGGCATCAACAGCATGATTATTCATGTAAATAATGTATACTTCATTTATCTATTCGAATATTTGTTTTGTTCACTATTACCACAGTCAATATTGTCGAGTTCAAGTATAATTTTGATTCTTTAATCTCAATTTTTCCAATTAAATAAATGAACAAATTTCTGTAAACAAAATTTCTTCGTATCTCTAAAATCAATACAAGCGATCAAACGTCATCGAGATCATCGATCTACTCTGTATCGCGACACGTCTAACTCTACGATCTTTTCGTGGTGTCTGATTTATTCCAAGATCTCGATCGATTTTCCTTACACGATCGATTCGAGTCACTGCGAGTTGATTTTCGAGTGACAGGAACGACGCGGAATTAACAGTAAGGTTCTTACTGTGATCGCTATGAGGACTCTCCGTTCGACGTTCCTCCTTGGGCTCTTTGTCAGATCCAGGCTCGGTCTTCGCTTTCCTCTGCAGCTTCTTCATCTTCGCCCGCTGGTTCTGGAACCAGACCTGCACCACGCGCACGCTAAGGCCCGTGTCTTTCGCCAAGGCCTCTCGAACCTTCCGACAGGGTTTCGGCGACACCTCGAACGACGCTTTGAACTGGCGCCTCTGCGCCGACGTGAGGATCGTCCGTGGTCGCTTGGGGCCCCGACGACCGTCGCGGGGTCGACTATCGTCCAGTAGATCATCGTCTGGAAATTGATTTTCTCGATTAATTCGATCTCGCAGAATTCCCGAGTGGCGTAGTTTAATTTCGAACGTCCAGTGAAGCGAACGTATGCTAAGCAAGCTTAGTATGCTGTCTTTTTCTCAGGATCATTTGGATGAAGGTAGAATCTCGGAGAATTCTCGTTTGAAAGTATAGAATAGAAGCGAGATGATAGAACGTGCTTCGTTGCACTGGATTCAGGGATAATCGAGAAGAGGAAAGAAAATAGAGGTCGAATCAAGAGTGGAAGAATGTACGGGGAGTTAATTAGAATGGGGTATACGGAGGAACGAGGTAAATGGAGAATAGTTTAGGATTTATGGGAATGCTACGTATGAGAAGATGAAGGAAACAAGATGAGAGAAGAATTAGAGGAGGCACAGAATTTATTTTGCTCGATCTGGGATAAGAGAAATTTTAAGCAAGTCTCGCAAGTTTTCCATCAATTGACACTAGCTTCGATCTCCAAATCCGACTAGATGCCAGAAAACCTTTGAAAATGTACAATGATCCCGAGAAGCCGTGACTAACAAACTGCTCTTCCATCGATTTCACCTTTAAGTCGATCGAATCGTTCACGAACAAACGAAATCCCACGAATCTACGAAAGAATATCCAAGAATCATTAGAAAAAGTCCCGAATACTAATCTTCCCATCCTCGTCTACAGACTGGCGTTCCTTTTTACACGATTTATTTATCATTCTCTTCGCATTTCCTCTGTCCAATTCATGGAAGAATCGTTTCTAATTACGCTTGGTTTAAGTGTAGTTACCTTGAAAAGAGAGACAGCCTTGATTCGAAATTCCTGCAGGTTTTTACTTTGGATGTCTTTAGATTGTAGTAGTACAACCTGCGAACAATGCAACAAGGTATGTACAATACGTTCTCGCACGTTTTCGTCGATTATTTCATCGTTTGTCAATTTTTTCTTTTTTTAATTTCTATTCTTACTTTTCCCTTCACAATTATTCCGTTTGTTTTCCTCAATTTTTAAAATTTTGTTCCGCTTTTATAATAGATCCGTTTGTCTATTTGCTTATCGCTGGAAGGCAATTCGCGAGAGAAATCGTGTGGGAGGGGCGAAAAAATTGATACGAACGAAACTTTGTAAAACCATCATTTCGATCATGGGTTTGACAATTTTTCGTTTGATTGAAAGCAACGTCAGTCGTTATACATTGTCCTGAACAGACCGCCAATCTCGGTTCCATTGGAATCGATAATAAACAGAAATCGTGATAGTCGAGCAGTTTGCCGTCGAATGTTACGGTTTCACGGAGATAACTATATCGTTTTACACCTGTAAATTCACGTATCGTTGCGTTATCGAATCGGTGGATTCTGAATTTGTTTTGTCTGGTAATATTTAGAGAATGGTCACCAGGTATAGCTTTCACACGGAAAATGGGGATACGCAGAGAATGGCATGCACAAGGGGTGATAAAGTATATGACAATAGATATAATTGGCGAATTGAACAGTTTAACAGCTTCTGATCTGAAAGCACGGTGAGAAATTTTTGGAAAATTAGCGAGGCAAGTCCAGCATGGATAAAGAGAATAGAAATGCTAAGAGTGGAAGTAGAAGACACCTGGGAATTAAATTTTATCACTCATTATCGAGAAACGAGATTATCCTAAAATATAACAGAGCATAAGAATAAAGCAAGAATAATCTCCATCGACTGGAATAAATTATGTAAAAGACAATAGATTTCCTACAAATTCTAACCCCTGTAATAAGAGAAACAGAAAGAATGGATTTAAAAGAAAAAATGAGGAAGTACTAAAGAAGTCGAAGATATTAATTGTACCTATCCTAATCCACTCCAAAAGATCAAGATAAAGAGAAAATCGAAGACATCACTGGTATACACCAATCTTACTCTCCCACAAGAAATACCAAACAAATAGAAGTTACCTACACCCCTTTGAACTTATAAGAAGAGCTCAGCAAGCTCTGAAGTAGTCCAAGTCAGCGCCTACGCCGCCCCTAACTTACTGCAGCAAGAATAGCAAACAATAAAGTACAGAAACCAATGAAGAATCCAGACATCATCTATACCGATCAAAATATAAAACCAAAGATCTGAAACCCCCTAAAAAAATATAAAACACCATTCACTCAATCTTAACGCACCCCCCAATATCAGGATAGACATATACAGGGTGGTTCGCTCGTTAATGGATTCAAAGACAGAAAACTTCGACTTACGAAACTTTACAGTACACACATACACACACATACACTGCATTGATGCACGACCCCTACGTTCAGCTACACTGCATCCAAGTTCATCAGCGAACCACCCTGCAGGAAACGAGAAATCACGAGAGAAGGAAGAAAAGCAGATCTCGTAGCAACGCAGAGAAACCAAAGACCCAAACGAGACATCGAGAAACATGGAAGGAGTAATGGTCACCAACCTTGAGGACTGTTCAGGTACAACTCGTGCTCGTAGTCCCTTCGGCAGATCGGTTGTCCCTGACGCAGGAAGTACTGGGTGCCAGGCGGCAACGGCTGCCCGCACATGCAACACGCGAAACACTCCACGTGGAACACCAGGCCCGGCGTCCTTAACACGAAATCCGAGCAGCTGATCTTCTCCATGCACCGTGCACACTTGACTCCGAAGATCCGCTCGTAGTCGGTTCTACAGTAGAGCTTCAGCTCCCTGATGAAGCACGAATGGATGAGCGGCGTCGCGCACGCTGCACACGACAGGCATTCCTCGTGGTAGTTCCTTCCGGCCACCTGCATCACGTACTTGTCGAGGATGGTGCGACCACAGCCAGCGCAGATCGTCTCCAGGAGACCCGACTCCGTCTTCACCGAGATCGACGGCTCTGAAATCAGCCATCGCCATTTTCTTCAACGCGTTCGCCGCCATTTCCGATCCTTCGACCGGTTCACGTGTTTCCGCCATATTTAATATACAGAAAGTATACAAAGTAGTAGTATAATTTCTATTTCTCAGCGTTTCTTGAAACCAGTGCAATATTTTGGTAGGTACATGTACTGCGCGTTCGAGGAAAGGAGGCATCGCGTGCTTGCATCCTCACGGCTAACTACGTAGACACTTTCATGATCATAGATCAATGATCTTTGTCATCGTTTTCAGTCAATAGTGGTCACTGGCTGTGATGAAGGAAGAGCTTATTCTCCTGAATATGAATCTGTCAATAAAATTCCACTATCACTCACTTTTCGAAAAATGTGAATTTCTCTAAAGACGTATAATTTTTGTCTAAAATGAAATATTACATAAAAAGCAATAACGTTAGAGGGCTCTATCATATCTTATAGGTTAGGCGAGAGTATTCCAAGTTTATCAATGTCCACAATTATAATTATTCGTACTCCGGAATAATTATAATTGGTCATCGAAGATTAAAAATAAGCTTCCAAGCGTACTTCCTACGCATGTAAAATGTATAAATTATTACATTGATTGTTAATAACAAATTGTTTGCAACGAAAATTTATAATAAAAGTGAAAAAATTAATAAATTATTGGCTATTACTTCAAGTTATAACATATTTACATTGAAATGTACATATAATTTACAAAAAGATTATAATTGTTACACTTATCGTTAATAACAAATTAATATTGTTCATAACGAATTGTTAGCAACGTAAATTTATAATAAAAGTGAAAAAGTTAATAAATTATTGGTTATTACTTGAATTTATTATGAATTTATGTTAAAATTTACTATTAATTTACAAAAAGTTTATAAATCATTATACTTATTGTTAATAACAAATTAATATTGACATTAACAAATTGTTCGCAACGTATATTTATAGTAAAAGTGAAAAAATTAATAAATTATTGCTTACGAGAGCGAAAAATTAATAATTAATAAAATCAGCAAAGTTCAAAAATTTTCGATCGGGGTGGGGAACTTGCCCGATCGGAGGCTATATAAAGGGCGACGCTCCGCTGCTCGAGTCATTTGTCGGTTCGACTTCGGAAGTGAAACATCTAAATTTTTTCGAGTGCGCGAGGGGTGGGGGTCCGAAGTGAGGTTGGGGCTAGCCACCCCACCCTCACCCCACCCCATTAAGCCATTTACTAATTTATTTTTTGTTTCCAGGTATTAATAATTCTTTTTGTTTTCTGGTGTTAATTATTTAATTTTTTTCAGGTTTTAATAATTGTTTCTTTTTTCAGATTTTTTTTTTGGTTTCTATTCATTTTTATTTGACATTCGAATATTTCGTATTATATTCGAATGATTCGTCGTTGGCTTGCTCATATCTTATCATGGGGTTGTTCGTTCTATTTGTTTCCGTCTTTCTGGTTTATTTTCATTTCGTTTTTATTTTCATTCGTGTTACTGATCCGTTTCATTTCAGGTTTATATTAACAATAATATATTCTGTTTTAGCTTTTAGATTTTCCAGTTTTTCAAGATTTTGAAGGTTTCATACAGAACACGTCGTTGGACGTGGCGGGATGCGTGCGTTTAGACTTAAGTAGTTATAAGTGGTCATAAGATAGATTCATAGACTAAGTCTTATGTGAGCGCTATCCGTTCAAAGGTAAGCCACCTAACTTGGAGCGAATATATATATTTTCCCTTATCCCTCTCGCTTACCAAATAGAACATAATTGTTCTCGCGGTAGTCGCAATCGTTCTTAAGTACCGACTAGCCTGCGTGACGTACTCTCGTGTACTCGATAACTCCATGTTTCGTAAGACATCCAAACGATTCGTTCCGACACTCACCCTCGCCACTGCCACCCTTGTCACGCATTAGTCGTCCTGGGCACCAGCGCGTGCACGACCGGGGTATGGGTCCTGTAGCCGTGACACTGCATATGGGCCTGCGGTCAGACCCCATGGGATGATTAAGTTCTCCCCCATGTGGCAGGGGCCTGCGTGACCGGCTACAGGACCTCGCTAGGGACCCTCGGCTTGATTTTGGGCGTTTCGCTGGTTCGTCGATCGCTCTCGTTCGCGAGTAAGTCATGGCAGGGTCTGTGGTGGCTGGGTGGGCTAGGTTCGGTCGGAAGGGTGCCGAGACATGAAGTTGTCTTGTACACGAGAGTACGTCTCGTAGGCTAGTCGGTCTTTCGAATAATCGCGAACTCGTTCGGGCGCGTCGCGATTTTTAACTTGCTCGCGTTTTTCATTTTTGATTCCCCAATTTTATGGGAACTTAGAAATATTAGAGTCTATTAAAATGAAATATATTAGTGTTGCGATAGTGAACTTTTAGTATACCGAACCGAAGTCTCTTTGATAAGACACGAAAATTTATAAAGTGTCAGTAGATTCACTTTAACTTTTCTCGCTCCAAGTTAGATTAGGGTATCTTTGATACGGGTAGCACCAGTAGGTTGCGCCACTAGGGCGCATGTCTGGGTCACAATGCGTAGCCACCTCCACGTGGTGAGACCTGGTAATTGTTATCCTTTTCCAAAGATTTTTCTTTGGAAAACGATGCCAAGCTAAGAGCTACGCACAAAATTTAAAATATTCGCGATATATTGAAAATTTTCAATGTCCCTTGCAAACTTTGTGAATTTTTCAAAATTTCATAACAAGATTGTATTTTTTTTTCTCGTAGACTGTTCTATGTTAGTTTTATTACACTTGGTACTGGGATTACACGTAACTACGGCACTGTCGAGGTTAGAGAGACGAGCAATGGCCGCGTGGCGGTAAAATCCGTACACACGTCAAGAACGAATATTTTCTCCATCTAATCGAATTGAAAACTATTTCGACAATTATCGCCCATGGTGTCTTCCTCAGAAAAGCTCACAGAATACACTACTGTATTGCAAATTCGTATCGGATATAAAACTTTTTGAGAAGATGCAAGAATAGTGCGCGCAAAGCAAGCTCGACGGCTTATTTTTAAACCTTCATAACCAATTATAGTTATTCAAAAGTACAAATAATTATATTTATGGACATTGATAAATTCGGAATACTCTCACCTAATTTTCAAGACAGGAATGAATCTTCTAACATTCTCACTTTTTACGTAATACTTCATTTTAGCCAAAAATCGTGCGTTTTTCGATAAACTCACAATTTCCGAAAGCTGAGAGTGATTGAGCAATTTCTATTATGGGTTCGTGTCGAGGAAAATGAACTCTACTAGAATTTCCCTTGGATATTACAACTTAAAATTCGCATTGAACAGTGTAAGTGTCGTGATAAATATGTCTAAATATAGTGTACGATTATATCTTTATTTTGGGAATAATTAGTATTAATTTCATTACCAGTAATAAGTAATACATTCGTTGTGAATGAAACAGAGTTTATACTACGTTAGTGATAGAAATTTAAATGCAGCTGATCCAATTCGAGCTGCTATGAAGTGTATTTACATGATAAAATTATTCTTGTTACTGATAAAATAATTTATCTGACATTTTAATTCTTATAGTCTAGTTTAGAATTTATGGGATTCTCTATTATCTTCTTTAAAGGTCTATTAATACCTATTCCTCAAGTCTCTATAAGCCTATATGACTTAAAAAATTGTTCACATACTCGAATTCTTTTCAAACAGTGAAAGTGTACCTAGTGAAAGCATAAAGCTAGCTTTAAAATGTAATTTCCTACACAATTAATTATACAATAGTAAACAAATACCGTATGAAAGGAGTTCCAGGTGTATATTTTCAAATTTATTCATCGCCATGCAATCTTACGCTATCACTACGTTATTATTCTAATCACAAACGATCCATATTTACATAAAATATTTGTCTTTCGATCTAGAATTAAGTATGCATACATCTTCTTCTCTCTGATAAAGAAATTAGACTGCAATTGACGATGATCAGATTCGAAACTTGTATTTGCAAGCTAAATTTACATCCACGCTTCTTAATCAAATATATCGTGCAGGTTGAATGCAGAATTTTTCTCACGGAACGTTCCATCGCGAAGGAAATAAATACGCGCGGAGTTATGCCGAATGATATGGCTGTCGGGCTGAGAAATGTGATAGCGTTCTAGAACAGAGCAATATTGCGAGTCGCATGAAATTTGTTCCATCGCTTATCGATTGTCGATAGTGATAAAGTTACAACGGAACAGAACGCGGTACAATAACTTTCTGTTTACCTGAACTACGACAAAATTTCCTGCATTTTTGCTCCGACACACACGAAACATCCAAATACACGATACTTTTTCTTGCACAAGTAAAATCCATTGTTACAGTATCACGAGACTGTGATCCACGTTAATGGCGATTTTATAATAATCATCAAAATCATTCTAATCATACTCTAACCAAATTAGAGACTACCTATCACTTCTCCTATTATTTAATATCTCGATCATTTCATTAATCCATATCATAAAATCCATATTACTACCAAAACAAAAAATTGGTAATTATAATGCGATATTTTATATTGGAATATTTTTCAAAGGCTATTAAAAATTTTCAAAGTTCAAATACAATTAAATTACCTGTGTAATACGAACATGAACTTAACCCAGACTATCATGATCATCTACGATGCACTATGACAGGTAATTTAATTTTGAAAATGAAGTTGATCCTCTGTGGATCGAATTATACTCCACGTTCCATCCACCTGGTTCATATTTAAAATCATACTTCAAATTTCATTCGAATTTTGGTTCTATTTTCATAGTCTCCTGACAAACAACGTATCTATACTGATCTATACTTGTGCAACTGAATTGCTACACAGAAGTGCATGTTTTATACGTAGAAATCAAGAGGAATTAAAGCAAACAATGTCCAGTGTAGATCGACATAGATCGATCTATAAATATATCTTCTTCTATCACTCTTAATAACGATTAATCGACACTTTTAATGCTAGAACTACAGAAGATGTCGAAATAACGTATTCTCGCAGTTTCTAGAAACATGTTGCTGACTATGTAGACACGCCAGCTATTTCTATTTATCTTTATCGTGTCATTACGTTTATTATCATTCGTGTATAATACATTTAGTGACCAAGACTTCGGTAGTTCTAGTGACAAAATGAAAGCCAAAAAAGACAATCTCAGTTCATCTTGCCTGCATTGTTATTGTCGTTCGCGGGTCGAAAGGGAATCGGCGGCGCGGCGGACCCCATCCGCTGGCCTGACTCACCCTGCCGGTTCAGGCTACCTGGTAGCGGAGGGTAGAATTCCAACATGGTTCCTCGTGCCCTCGAGCTCCCAATTTCTCAGCCTCCCCACCACTTTTTCACTGTCCGCACTTGGCAAGAACCTTTTCCCGAACCTCTTTCTCCCCGACGGTCCCTCTCTGACCCCAAACAAAAATCACTCCCGACGATGAGATCCTCTTCCCGAACAGTCACTCGATGAACCAACGAGAATCTACCTCGCTACTTCGACCCAACGTCCGTCGAAGTCTATCCGTCTCGAGTCACAGAATCCAAGTTCACAGTGTCACGTCAAGCGTCCTCGTGATCGAGTCACCCCGATTGTCCGACCGTTCAACCCTCTCCCGTCCTTCGACGCGGCGATAGGTCTCAAGAGAAGATCCCGTGAGCGACGCCGGGCAACCTGAAGGACTTCCAATCTCGACGAAACCTCGACTTCACAGCTGATAACATCCTGAGCGTCTTTTCCGTTGTTCTCCCACCGGGTCAGGGGGTGGTTTCTCGTACTACGATTCCGTGTCAGCAACTCGTCAGCTCGACAATGTACCGCGTCCTGCGTGACAGATCGTACGTGTCAGCGGCCCGGACTCTCAGGCTTTTTTGACGCCAGCCGCCGCATCGACAGTCAAAATCATCCCCCATCCACCGGAGACGCGGACGCCGATCGACTAGAGGGTGAGTTCGGTGGGCGGGATGCTCGAGGATCGCTGAGGAAGACTGGAGACGCCACGCGATTGGCTCGTCGTGGCTCCGCCCTCGAGTGGGGAGCCGTGGTGGGGGCGAGCGGTAGTCGCGGTGCTCAACTGGTTGCGCGACGCTTCCGGAGATCAATATCTCGCGACAGTGACGTACACCGTCGACGGAGGGCTCGGGGTCGCCACCTTGAATTTTGCGTCGTCGAGGATTCGCCGGTGGTCTATTCCCGGTGATGGATGGATGCGATCGGATTGATCAGAGTTTGATTCGCTGTTTGCAAGAGTGCCGAGGAATGTGTCTTTCCTGAGATTTTCTTGCGGGAAAGGTTCCAGATTTCACAGATAATCGTACGATCCACATGGACGCGTCATAGTGAGTTTGGCTATTCGTGTGTGTTGTATATTTGTAGATACAAGTCGAATGAATGGAACGAGGCGTGCAAAGATAGTGGGTTGATCCAACGAGTGATTTGAGGCTCGATGAGTTTTCGTTGGGATTTCTTATGCGTGAAAATGTGGGGTTATGTTTGCGATTAGGAACGATAAGACGCATGTAAAAGTGTAATATCGGGTTTGTACGTTGGCGGATAGTGTATGCTTGTAGACATTAATTAAACGAATCGTGTAAGATGACTTAAGGCTCGATAGAAACTAATGGAACCTTGTAGGTTAGGTTTGTATTTTGTAATAGCACGATGCAGGTATATGTAACGCAAGGATTATATTTCGTGTGCATCGTGCATTGTGTCACTATAAGTACAAAAGCGTCAAACTTAGCCTAACATCAGCGACGCAGAGGCGTCTCAACATTGCCTTACTCGTTCTACTTAAGTCGGCCATTCGAGCGCCCTACTGTCATACATACAAATACATTCCTCGTTCGATTCACGTCTTTAACGATGAACTGCGTATTGCGTTATTAGAAATACGACCCGACTAAGTTACAAAAACGAGATGATTGAAGATAGATATTCAGTTACCGTAAAAAAGTAAACAAAGTAAACAAATTGGGGATTAAAGTTGAACAAAGAGCAATAGTGGATTCCAAAATCGAAAAGAGCCATTGTCAAAGTTCGAAGGAAGAACTAGCAAAGCCAAAGGTACCCAAAAGCAAGTCACAATCGGTCCTATGACCATTTTCGATCAGAGAATCGCGCGTGAAATTAGCTACCTTCGTGCAACAACAGAATCGTGATACGAATATTGTCACGGTACTTCAATGAAGGCATACGGAATCGTGACATAGGATTCACGATTTCTCCGCATTTCGGTCAAGAAGACCGGTCAACGTCCCGACAGATTCGGACGCACCAGCCACCCCACATAAGCGTATGCTCGCTGTCATCCCTGATCCACCGGTTCACCCCCCGATTGTGAGCGTCGTCGGTGCGGCCGCACGTGTTCCATCGTGAAATACTTTGCATCACCATTACCGTCTCTCGACTCGATCGCCCTTTGTACCAGGGACGAAGGGGCCGCAGCGGAGTTTCATAGGCAACTAGGCGTATCATTCGTGACGATGGGGGTAGAGCGCGGGGGTTGGACGTGGCACGCGGGAGAAACACAGAGACAAAGAGGGCCCCGTATATAGGCTTTTATTTGGCAAACATCGCCGATAGACGGGCCGCACAAAGGGCGGGCATTGTCGCGTATTTACGCGGACTGACAAACGGCCAAATACTCGATACGCCGCCGCCTTTCGTACTTTCAAAATACACGGGACATCCTTCGCGTCTGACGATATTGCCTCTGGCACCGGGCTTTGGTTCCTTCACGGTGTGCCTCCTTTGAGAGGGTCGCGCGTCCTTTGGATATCTTCTTCCATTCCTTCCTCTCTCCAGATGGAAATTTCGCTTCGTGTCCTGCAAAGAAAGATTCGTAGTGAATTCCTTTATCGTTCTTTTTGGAGGTTAGGTGCGATAATTGAGATGTCAGTCGAGTGTAAATATGAGCGATTGCAATGTATTAATTGTAAAATTATTCGACTCCTCCTTAACCATGGTGGACCCTAGTGACTGAATCTTGCATTAGATCGGTTCAGAGTAGAAAAATATTTGGAGGTTAGGAATGAGTAACAATGCGAGTGTGAGTATGATAGAGATAGATCGCAGTGTATTAATTGTAAAATTATTTGACTCGTCCTTAGCCACGGTAATCCCTAATGACCGTGAATCTTGCATTAGATCGGTACAGAGTAGAGGAATATTTGGAGGTTAAGAGCAAGTAGAGATACGAGTGTGAGTATAATAGAGATGGCTTGCAGTGTATTAATTGTAATATTATTCGACTCCTCCTTAACCATGGTGGTTCTTGGTGATTTTCAATCTTGTATTATGTCACTTCCTATGCTAAATACTGCTTTATTTCTTGTAGAGGAGTCTAAAAGCATGATTCATTTTCGAGGACCAAATTTTCGAATTGCGCGCCAGATTTTTCCCGAGCATCGGAGAGTTCTGTACCGGGGATTACCCGTCCCGATCGAAGAATAGAAACAAAAGAAACCCTCGGCTTTTTATTTGCCAAATATGATTTCTATGCAGACAATGAACCAGCAAACATCTCTCGACACACAATATGCCGATTCTTCGAGATTTGCGTCTGTCTGGTTTCCAGCTATTCTCGATTAGCCTACTACTATTAATCATCGTACTCGGATGACAATGGAAAAGACCAGGCTGCCGCAAACACGTTGTTTTATCGTTAAATACGAAACGATTATGTTTCAGAACAAAAACAAGAAATTTAAAGAAGATCTCAAATTAAACACAACTATATTAATCGCAATTCTAATTAATTATATAAAATAGACATAACCTAAAAGTCACAAACATTTGTCATTAACAAAATAATATATAGGTATGAATATATAAATTTGAATATTAAGTATTGCAGAAAACGATACTTTGTATTCAAATCGGAGATTTTACAATAAAAATTGTGATATAGATAAAGAAATTTATGAATAATAATAAATTTTCGTTTAGAAAAGATTGTCCAGAGATGCACTGACGTAAGAAAAGCAAAGTGTCAGAGCCACATCACCTGGCCCAAATTAGGGGGTGAAAGAAAATGGAAACCCGAGCATCGCAGTGGCAGTCGACATTTAGCACGGTCTTATCTCGGGCATAATAGAAATTAGGGAAACCTAGTGACCCTCGCGATTTCACGGCGCATAAAGGCACAAAAGTCGCTGCTCCGCACCCGAATGAAATATGGTTCCTTGCAGGTGCATCCACCCCATTCTGAACTCCGCTTCTCTCCCGTCCCCCTGGCATTGTTCGGGATATGTGACACTAACGCCATCCGTGTAATTATGCCGATACGGTTCCAGCGTTGTTTCGTGACAGGGGGTGGCGGACCATCCCCTAAGCACCCTTTGGTCACGCATCCTGGGGGTTCCTTAGCATAGTAATAGCACCACGGATTTCTCTGCATATCCTGTAAACGCGGAAATTTCGTTAATTACCGAATTTGAAATTTAAATCGACGAGAATTAAGTTTTGCCGCGAAATACCGCGAAATTGATTATTTCCCTTTGCTTTTCATATATGAATTTTATCAATGGCGAAAGTTGCGGCTTAAATTGAATTTAGAATAAGACATCATGGAAAAAAATTTTTATCGGATACTTCTTTTACAGCCGAATCTTTCAAAATTATGAAGCTTTCTTGAGAATGACAGAAAAATTGTGTTAATTAGATCATTAAATTTGGAACTATGGAAATTATTTATTTATTTATTTGACGGGTAAACACTCTTTATAAAGAAGTAACATGGTCAAATAAAAATAGTCATTAACCCTTTGCACTCGATGATTTTTTCGTTACAGGAAACCAGTAATTCCAAGATTTTCTGCCATAAAGTCGACGATATTTTTAAAACGGTAAATAAAAAATCGCATGCAATTTAAGACGTAGAATTATTTATAATATTACTTCGATATTCCACGCATCGTTGGGTGATTGCAAATTTGATATATCAATTAACGCCCATCTTTAGAATCTGATTAAATGGCGACTGAGAGGCGCCTCTCGAGTGCAAAGGGTTAATAGTCAAGTAGTCAAATAATAGTCATTCGCTATTGAGATATTCCGCATATCGCGAAATTCGCTGATAATAAAATTCGCAATTTATTCTCTCTTACTAGTAAAGTCTGATATTCGAGAAAGAAATGCCTCCGTTACGAGAAATACCACGAACTGTCAAAGCATCGCGCAAATACGAAGCTTCGTGAACCACGGAATACCGACTTCGAATCGCGAGAAATTAATTTCCGTGCCATCGCTTACGTCTCGTTCCAATCTTTCTCCATCGCGCAAAATCTCAGTCGTGCTG